AAGCCTTAATAAAAATATGAGCAAGTATAAACAAAACAATAAAAAAAGGGAGGAAAAGAGGAACAAAGGTATCCCATTATGTGCATTTATAAAGTAAGCAGCAAAGAAAAAAAAATGTTAAAAAAAACTTTTTAAAAAACACGCTTTTATCAAAAAGATTAAAAACCAAAAACTTGAAAATAAAATAAGGTCACACTTTTAGCGAATCAGGATTTTAAAAATTTTCTTGTGACAACTAGAAATGTAACATAAATTTTTTTCAAAATATTGTGATTAAGTCCAAGAACACAATGACTCTATAAGCGTGGGGCGTAATTTAAGGATGCATTTCTTAGTTCAACTAAGTTCTTAAGTAAGAGAAGCGTCAAATCTCAAAGCCCCACGCTTTTCGAGTCATTGTGTTCTTGGACTTAATCACAATATTTTGAAAAAAATTATGTTACATTTCTAGATGTCACAAGAAAACTTTTAAAATCCTGATTCGCTAAAAGTGTGATCTTATTTTATTTTCAAGTTTTTGGTTTTTAATCTTTTTGATAAAAGCGTGTTTTTTAAAAAGTTTTTTTTAACATTTTTTTATTTGCTCCTTTTTTGGTCGCTTGGTTTTTATTCTTAACAACAGACTTAACTTCAAGAAAAAAAATGTTATTTGTTTTTTAGTCTTCGGGAAAAAAGCGTGTTTTTTAAAAAGTTTTTTTTAACGTTTTTTTATTTGCTACTTTTTAGTCTCAATCTTTTAATCGAATATCGACCACAACAATTCAAATTCAACTCCACTTCGTTTCGTTCAACTTTTAATATATTCCCATTTTTTAATGGGTAATTAGTAACGACTGTCAGGATTTTTCATTCGTTTTTATAATTTAAGTCATACCTGGAAACACATAAAACTCTTCTAAAAAATGTCCTGAACTTCAATTATGTGCGTTTTCTGCGTTTTTTAAAACATTCATGAGTAAAGAACATTAAAAATCAATCGTAAAGATTTTGTGTTTATCCGTACCATTCCTATTACATAACGTGTGGATTCTTAACATAAAGATGCAAATCACATCTATATGTAACGTATTTATAACGGATTTTTCAAATTTAAATTCAATGAATGTCATTCATATGTTATGCAAAATTACGTTAAGCCGATAATAAATAGAAGTCAATTTAATTAAATTGGTGAAGTGCTATAAATATTGTAATGCATTTAAAACAGCATACGTTTATGCTCAAATTATGTGTGCTAAATGCACATCGCATATTAATAGTTATTTTGCATTAATTCGTAGCGGACTTGTGATTAACGGTTTTTTGAAAATTCAAATTTTCACTTACGGATATTCATGAAAAAATTACTTGTCAATTTTTTCATCCTCACAGAAAATCTTCAGCTTCTCCAATTATTAGTATTATTAATAAAAAGTAATATTAATTAAACTATAGTGAATCATATAAATGACTTTTGAGCATTTCAAGTATAATATTTTAAACAAATCAAAATTTTATATCATTGACATTGGATTTTTTTCCCATATAAAAAAGTTTTATTAAAATTGTACTATAATTAAGCATTTGTGTGGTTCTAAAGTGTTAAAATATTGTATTGTCACCGGGAAAACGTGTGTATACAAAATTTGAGCTCGATTGGAGCAATAGAAGTGGTCGAAAAATCGATTGCAAGATTTGAACGTGACATACAAAGAAACCAACAGAGCAACTCAATAAAAAGCGTGTAATAAAAAAGGAAGAGAGATAAGGGCTCGTTCACTTATTACGTAACGCAAAAAAACGAGTTTTTAGACCCCCCCTCCCCCCCTGTAACAAAGCGTAACAAAATCTTAGACCCCCCCTCCCCCCCCATAACGTAACAATAATTTTTTTCATTTAAATTGTTTATCAAATGTTTATTATACTTCCTTTAAGTATGTAAAAGTAAATAGAAGGAAAGCAATTATAACTAAAAAGTTCTTAAGTTAAAATTTAACGTTAAAAAAATTTAAAATTAATATAGAAAAAATTATAAAAAAATATAATTTTTGAAAGGTTACGTAACAAAATTTAGACCCCCCCCCTCCCCCTGTAACAAACCGTAACAAAATCTTAGACCCCCCCTCCCCCCCTAGTGCGTTACGTAATAAGTGAACGAACCCTAAGAGATCTCAGAAAAATGAATTTTAATTATTTTATGTGTGCATCAGTATCTCTCAGTCAGTAGGTAAGTAAATTTTTTGAACCGCCCAGGTTGTTGATGAATTTCTGACATGATCATGCAGCATGCAGTAGCTCAGACGTGATATATTTTGACTCTTTTTCTCGTAAAATTTTTTATTTGTAAAAGAAAATGAAAAGAAAAGCTCGTGTGGCTTGTTAATAGCAACAATATCAATAAGAAGAAAAGTCATCGAGAAGAGAAAATTGATCGGTATGTAAGGTGCGACAGAAAATGATAGTTGCTGATTCGAGTCGCACACATGAGACTTTTTTTGGTGACACTTTTGAATCTTAATTCAATTCACTTTGGCTGGCTGGGTGTGAGTTTTGAAATAGGAGGGACCACGCAGAGTACATATATCTAGTTTAAAGCATGAGCTTGTTGCTATTGATTTACTGCTCCAAACCCTGTTTTTAAGCTATGCAGTCCTTGCGATTTCTGAGAATTGTTGCCATTGAGTTAAATAAATGTGCAAGCTGCTAAAATTTAAACCTCTGTGATTTCAAACTTTTGAAAACAGTTAAAATTTTGAATTTTTAAAAATTCGTTAAATATCAAAATTGTAAAATGCGTTTAAGTCCCTCAATCAATAACAAGTAATCGTTTTTTTCTCCTTTCTTTCGTACACATTTTACCACATCGGACCCGTCTATACTAAAAAAAAATTAAAATTTCTCGAGAGCACGGAGAGAGAGCGAGAGTTTTGAAACAGGTTTTCAACTTAAAGAAAAGAATAATATGAAGTATGAAAGAAGGCTTATGTTCATATGTATTGAATAGGCTTGTAGTGCTTAATCGTTACATGAAGAAAAATTTCTTCTAAAATGAATTTCAATGAATTTTTATGCTGACATGCTTACACAACCGAATGAATTTTTTATTTCTCTGCTGTCATTCCAAACTATGCACTATGCACATGGAAAATTCATCTAATTTTTTTTGTCTCGTAGTGCTGCTTTATGAAGTGCATGGGAGATTTTTCAAAAAGATAAGTTTGAGTTGATTTTAATGAACTGTGTAGAGATATTGTTTTAAAAATTCATATATGTTTATTAAGTCTTACTAAGTTGTTTTCAGGTATTTAAAAACGAACACAGTAATAAAATGATCTTGGGTTGCATTCTAAACGAAAATTCCAATAAGATGGAATTTTGTTCCCTCTCTTTCACTTTTTTTCGTGCTGCATTTTGTGAATATGCAGTCGTTTTGGGTGATGAAATATTTTATGATTATTTTGAAATTTTAACTCAATTTTGAAATTTTAATAGAATTTAAAATTTTAATTTTTCTTTAACTTGTGTCTTGGCAAAATTTTGATACCTTATTTCAATACAAAAACTCCGTTAAAACTCAAATTTTTAAGAATCGTTTGAAACTTCCTCTAAAATGCGCTATACAGAACTAACCTCAAATTTTTTGCAAAAAGTCCACTCAATTTCGTTTCGTTTCATTCTTTTTCCTTTTTGTTTAAACACCTGTACAGTAATATACACAACTAACGTGTCCCATATAACATTACCTCGTGTAAAACAGAGAGAGAAACTCTTTTTTTTTACTCGTCGACGTAGTGGAAGGAATGCAAAGAATGATCTCATTTAAATATTTAATGGTTCTGACACATATCCTGCTGCATAAAGCTATATTCCTTTTTTTTTCTCACACTACTCTATTATCTTAGGCTGCTTATTGTCCGTTCGATTGCAAATCTGTTATGCTGCAGGGCTTAATCTCATCTACCTGATGAGACAATGACAGAAGAAATTGTAATGGTATTAAAGATTAAGCTTTTTGTACAAATTAAAAGATGATTAAATTGAGAGAAAATTCGTATGATCATTAAAGTGATGACAGCGTTCCGGTTATATAAGTTAAACTAATTATCAAACAAAAATCTTCATTTTGTCAACGAGGGGGGTTAAAAAATGATGTCAATAAATTTTAATAGTGCTTCTTCTTCAGAATTGGATTGATTTTGAATTAATCATCAATATTAAGCTAAGTTTCATCGAAATTAAGCTATGTGGCGGAACGTCACCAGTGAATAGTCCCCAAAACAAAAAAGTATTTCTTGTATCTTGTAAAATGGTCAGTCATTAATAGCACTAAATGATTCAGATGCTATAGCATTGTTTGGATTAGAGAAATTTAATTTTTTTTTCTTCATTTTATTGGCAGCTTGTGCCTTGCTTGCTTGTATTGTTGACTGATCAAAATCCAGCTCATGTTTGACACTACTCGAAATGAATGTTAATGTGTGATGTGCGAAATTTTCGGGTGAAAACAAATAAGTAAGAGAAAGAATGAAAATATTTATCGATACTTAACGGATTCTTTCAAGCTTTACGGCAGAAATATTTTCAATTTGATGGGTCTTAATGGCATCATGAGTACGGATAGAAAGGAGGAGACGAAAAAAGTGAATTTTTGAAGCATGATGTAATTTTAGCAAGCACGAAAGATTGGATTGGTATCTACGGGAGTTATAATAATCAAGTCTAATTTATACCTAAATGGATCTTTAGCTCAATTCAGCTATAAACAGTTTGAGGTTGTATAATTTGCAAAAACTATACATTAATAGACTTTTAATGTGCTCATTTAAATAAGGATTGAAGTAGAATGCACAGAACTATTTTGTTCAAGCAATGATTTACAGTTATTAAGTTCTAATTAAATAAATTTTCATAAATAAGTTGTCGCTTAGCTTCAAATCAATACCAATGACTCAAAAAAACATCTAACTGTTCACATTCATGTGATGAATATTTATTGGGTACCAAAGTTGATTTTTAAAATTTTAATTCCGTTAAAATGCTATTTTTCATAACGGATTTTTGAAACTTAAATTCAAATCTTTTTCGAAGTAATTTTTTCGAATTTTGACAGAGTTGTTGACTGCATGTGGCTTGCATGTGTGACAAAAGCCGGTTATTGACAATGCTGCAGATGAGATTCAATACTTATTGTCAAGGAACTACGCATTGAAAATATCTTGCTCTTTAAAAATTCAAAATTATGCTTTATTAATTTTTCAAGTCAAAAAAATCAAATCCAAAGCTTAAGATTCTTAAATTTAGACATGTTTCTTATTTTTTCCTCAAAAGAACTTCAGCAATTTAGAAAAATTTAAATAAAATCATAAATTTATCAAAATTTACTCAAATTGCACCTTAAAAGCAAGCGGATTGACATGGGTATGCGTCAATCATTGTAGTTTGATAGTTAGCATAGCATGTATTCATGACATTATTAAAGTTTGAACAATCTGCTTTGCTAAGTCTATTGAATGCAATTCCCGTTCCTAAACATGGAACGCCATTCTGGAACAAAAGATCCTTTAGATAAATGACATCAAAGTTCCATGCAAGAGATCTGCCCATTGCATCTTTATAGTCACTAGATGTTAAGGTATCAATGTATTCCTCATCTGATCTTGAACTAAATGTAGAACAAAAATCAGGTTCAACTGCATTAATTGGATTTCCAAACAAAAGAATTGCGATTGGATCAAGTCCTGTTGGTAATGTTAAGGTTGGCAAGTACTTAATCGAGTTGTTTACCAAGTTCAATAATCTTAGTTTCGAAAGATGTTTAATAAATCCACTATCAATTCCACTAATTTTGTTATTTTGCAAATAAATATAATGAAGCATTGGAGTTGGTAGAAACAATTCAGCATGAATACAAGTGATTCTATTGCCAGTCAAATCTAAAATCACCATTTTTCCCAAATTTCTGAAAGCATTTTTATGGACAGACTGAACATTACTGTATCTAAATCTTACAACTTGTAGATTTGTGCATGTCTGTGCAAATGCTTCAGGAATATTTGTCACAATTCCAAACGAAACTTGAATAAATGTTAATGATGCACAGTTAACGAAAGAATTAGTCGTCAGAATTGTTGTAGAGCAGTTATTCATATTAAAAGTTCCTAGATTTTTAAAAACACTGAAAATCTTTGCTGGAATAAAATTAATGTTAAATAAACTCAAAGTTAATGTATCTGTGGCAGTGTTGACATAGTTTAGAGCCTTTCCAAATATTGTAACGGAATCAAATGGTGTATATACGGATGTCATGCTTACGACTTTTGTGCATATCTCTCCATTCCATTGGCATTGCATGACAGATGCTCTTGTACATGATGATAACCAGCTTATGGTTATGAAAAGGAATCTGTGTAAGAAGTGGAAGTAATGTTTGTTGGTTTCGGAAGTTGCTCAGTGAGTAACACAATGGTGTACTTACATCTTATTCCACATTTTTATACTTCTTTACTGATAAGGATGTAGCTTTAGACTGATTAAACTTTATTTTGATCACTCATTATTATATTCATTTTACTGTTCCAAAATCATGTATTTGTATTAGTAAGTTAATATCTGTTTCTGAAACGCTTTACATACGTTTAAGATCAATTTAAAAGCTGACGTGTACATTTCAACAACTGTGAACGTTAATGCTTCTAATAAGCTTACAAAAATCTTAATATTTATCAATTTGAATTATTGCAAAATTGATAAACTTTCGACTTTTCTAGACTTTCGATAAGCTTGTCAAGCATGAATATTGCGCATCATTTGATAAAAAATTTCAGGGACGAAAATATTTTGTTGAATATAGTCAAAAATATTTATTTAGGTGTTATAACGACGCCATAAAGAGTACGTGCTGAAATTCAGATGCTTTAAAGTGCTCATATTTATAATGAATTTTGTTAAGGATTTCTGTAAAGAGTAAGAACTACAAACAAAGATTCTGTGCTAAGCTAATCAAAAGAAATGATTAATTAAACATTTGTGGTATATTTGAAGGGGATATAATTTTTTTTGGCGTTACTTAATAAAAGAATGATCCCCATAAAAATATAATTTAAGATAAAATTACGTTAATGCCAAACTCAAAGCCCAAAATAGACACTTCAAATAAAACTTAAAACACTTGTTTCACTTAAATTTATATGTTCAAATAGAACGACTGTAGTTGTAGATTAATAGCTTAAATTACAATCAAGTTTAATTCTTCATAAAATTAAATCCTGCTTTTACCTCAATCAAACGAATTTTCATCCCTTTCTTATGGCTGAATATGATCCCAATTGTATATCAAAAAAAGAAAACCAAAAATTGCCACATCGCTTGGATAGACATGAAGGAGCAAAGAAATTAGCAAGTTTATACAGCACAGGTGAGCATGCCAATATTCGATGATTTTCTCAACTTTTCGAATTATTTCCACTCGTAGGTAAAAGAGTACAGGAAGTGATTTGTGTCTATAGCTGTATTTTTCTGATGCTCATTAATTTCTTTATGATACTTAAACATTTGAGAATAGACCGCATTAGTGAAGTGATATTTTCAGCTATTTGCGGCATAGTCACAGCTGATTTCAGCAGTGGAATTGTTCATTGGGCTGGTGACTCATGGGGATCAGTGGAACTGCCATTTATCGGTAAAAACTTTATCCGTCCATTCCGGGAACATCATATTGATGCGACAAGTATTACGAGACATGACTGGATTCAAACAAATGGAGGAAACTTTATGATTGGCATCCCCATCTTGCTTAAATTAACATTCATCTTCTACAACTCATCAAGCACTGAAATTCAGGCTGAATATCCATTCTGTGCATATCTCTTTCTATGTTCAATCTTCGTGGCTATAACTAATCAAATCCACAAGTGGAGTCACACATATTTCGGTTTACCGGTGTGGGTACAAATTCTACAAAATTATCACATCATTCTGCCTCGAAAGCATCATCGTATTCATCACGTAGCACCACATGTATCATACTTTTGTATCACGACAGGTAAATTATATGTTTGACAGTTGTAGTCAATGTTTGTAGGTGTGATGTGACACACAAGTTGTACAACTCTAATTATTGCCTGACTAAACTAATTTTCTGATACTTATTTCTATTTTCTATACAGGCTGGCTTAACTGGCCATTAGAAAAAATCAAGTAAGTGATAATGTAATGAACATTAGATTTTATTTGCGGAAATGACTAATTTATTTTGATGCTAGATTTTGGTCAACACTAGAATCAATTGTGACTTATTTCACTGGATGTAAACCACGTGAAGATGATTTAAAATGGGCAAAAACATCTTAAAAACTGACTCTGATATAAAATCTTGATAATTATCATCTAATTTGTTAACTTTCAAACTAGAAATCTTAAAGAGCTGGGGTTTGTTTTATTAGCTCAGCTTCATCATTTTATTCCAGTAAAATGTACTTTTAGAGCTTAAAACTATGGTTTCATACTATAATTAATCAATTTTTAATTTGAATGCAGTGCAACCTGTCGAAATTTTTTGATTCCCTTTATTATTTTTATTTTTATTATTATTATTTACTTGTCGACGTTACCGTCCGGAAGACTTAGTATTTATACATGTTTTACTTTTTACATTGATTAGTGATACATTTCATATCACTATTAGTATTATGTAGGATCAAGCTTCTCATCTTCATATCTAGGTTTCAAATAAACTAAGGCTCTCGTTTCAATCTTCTGTGGGCGTGACGTGATACATTTCAGGTCCGTTCTGACAATATTCCATTATAAGGTAATCTTGTAGCTCTCGTTCCTATCTCTCCCGCTTCACTTCAAGTTCCTGATCCGTTCCTTAATCCAACGTTGCCTAAAATGCCCAATTATGGCTTGATCTCCTACATTAAGCAGTCGAAGTATCTAAACTTCTGAAAAAAAACAAATTTGGAAATGGCTGGATTCGAACCGACGACCTTCGAGTTACCATACCAAATTTGAGCCAAGCGCTTTACCTATTCGACCAGCAAGGCACTTAACTGCTTATAATTTCAAATTTCTAAAGCTAATCTGTAATTGATTAAAATTGTCTAATCACGTCATGTTTTAAAAATACCTTTAATTTCCATAAGTTCATAATATTTGAATAAATTTAAAAACACTTGAATAAACAGCTCCTGGATAAAAATGGTACAGTAGCTATGTGATAATCATCAGTCTTACTTGAAAAGAGGGTTTGAAAAGTTAGTTTAAAATTGTTTCCTTCAAATTTTTCAGTATGAAAATTTTCATTTCACTTTTGGCGATTTTTGTGACTTTAAATCACGTTTCGTCGCAATTTTCTGGTTTGTGGATTTATGTGCTATTTATTTTAGCAGTCATAATACTCATAAATTAAATTTCAGGTGGGCATTCACTAGTCGAAGACATCAACGAAAGAGCAAGACTACTAAAAATTGTCAAGAATAATTTATGCAGTTTTGAGGGATGCTGGGAACTTCATAAAGTCGAAAAAATCACAACACAAGTTGTCGCAGGTTCCTTATCAATTGTGCATGGAATATTTGAAGAAGTAATGGAAGAAGAATTCTACAGAGGTGCTGTTAAAATTTGGGAGCAGCCATGGATGAACTTTACTGAAGGTAATTACTGCATATTAATAAATTCTAATACCAAGGAAAGGGCTCAATTCAAAAGGAATCTAAAACTCAATCTTAGAGGTTAAAATGTTATCATGATAATATATAAATGATGTCTTTCCTAGATATTCTTGTTTCTTCAAGTGCAGGTTGAGTGCAAATTTAATTTGGCGAATTCCTCATGTGCCGTAAAAACTGATATCTTTTAATATAAATATTGACCAATTTTATCTAGAGTTTAAAATTATTCTGAGAAAGCAAATTGCACACAACTCGTAAATTTTTGATATCTTTGTTGCTTTAAACATTTAATGCATCAACATCCTGCAATTAAATTCAATTTCTCTAATATTAACGGATTTTTCATTTTTGAAAAGTATTGGTTGGATTTTTAAAATTTATAAAAACCGTTATTCAGTCATTTGTCTCAAAGATTTAGATCCACCTCTTTCCTTTACCTTCATACTGTTAATCAGCATTCGTTAACAAAAATTTCTCTCAAAAATTCCAGTGACATTCAACAAAGAAGAAGTAATCGAAGACTTGTGAATGATGACAATTATTGAACCATACCCATTTAATGCCATGTGCTGTAAATGATGTAATTTTGGTAAAAATAAAGTTGGAAAAACACCAAGTAATCAGCTGTTTTAATATCAATTTTCGAACTGACTAGTCATTTTCTTATGGCTCGTGTAGTTATCACTTTGTATTACGCATATCGTAACACAATTTTTGGAAGTACTCTTTTTTTTCGAACTTATCTTTTATCTTGCCAAAGCAATTGGGTAAACAATAATTATTGTTTTTGTAGAAGTGATATAAAAGTTCCGATTGTAATGTAAGGAAACAGTTATCATCAAGAAATTACAGACAAAACAATGAATTCAATTGTGCTTTTCAGCTTATTTTTTTGGTCTGCGATTGTTGCAGCAGAGCCTATAAACAGACCGATGATAGGTAATATCAGTGGTACGTCCAAAAAGTCAATAAAATATTTAAAAATTATTTAAAATTGATAAAACTGAAGGTGGTGTTAGCGTCGTTCAGGATGAGGCACGTCAAAGAGAACTCGTTGAACTTTTAAAAGAACATATCGGAAAATTAGAGGCTGGAAACTGGGATATAGTAGAAATATTCAGAGTTGGACAGCAAGTTGTTGCTGGAATGAAGTACTTCTATTATGGAACCTTTAGTGACAGACATGATGAGAACAAAATTTATGCATCTACTGTTACACTTTATATTCGTCCATGGGATCGCTTTGTTGAAAGTAAGATGATAAGATAAATTGAGTCGTTGATTAATCTCGATAAAAAAGTTGAAAAATATAACGGTTAAAAAATAACTGTCACAAAATATTTAAAAACAGTCGCTAATATTTAAAAAAAGATGGTTAAAATCAAGTTAAAATGTAATAATCTGAAATTTTAGACACGTCTAAAAGTGGACGACTCGAAATGAATAGCTGCTTCATAATTTTTCTCAAAAACTAATAAATTTATTTTCATTTATTCTAGTCAATATGATGGAAAAGAACCACATCCAATAATGTAATGTGCACAATTTAAAAATAACATTCAATCAGTATTCGTGTATCGAGTGTCTCATGTTAGTTTTAGATGTACTTACAAATTTATAAATTGTAATTAATGATATTTTATTTTTGAGAAAATTAACATATTTAATAAAAGAAAAGATTAAAAATATAAGAGAACAAGAAGTTCATTCTTCTTCAATTGAAGGTAGCCAGAAAGCAAGATTTGTACAGGCTGACACCATCATCATGTATTTTGGATTAAATTGAACACATTGAACTGGATTTTGATGATCACCATTTAGTACACATACTTTAAATCCACTGTCTGCATTCCATACATGAACACGTCCGTCAGTACTTCCCGAAAAGATATATTGTGAATCTGGACTGAAAGATGCTTCAATTGGAATTCCTTTATTGTTCGAATATCCTGAAATTCCTTGATATGTTAGTCATGATATTTAAAATTGACAATTATGTGCTCACCTGTAAACGTTTGTAGTGGAGTTCCATGAAAAGCATCAATAAGTCGAATAATTGAACCATTTGTGCTGATCAAAATTGTCTTTCCATCTTTTGAGAATTTCAAGCCTGTCCATTCACATTCCTTCTCTTGATTTAACATAAAAGTCACAAAAGGTCCTTTGTCAAAGGATCTTAAGTCATACAATTTGATCGATTCTGAATTGACTCCAGCAGCAAAAATTAAGCCTTCAGGATCAAAAGCAGCAATTGGCTTGCCTTGTAAATGCATAACACCTTGACAATTGGGCGATCTTAAATCCCACAATCGTAATGTTTTGTCTAAAGATCCAGAGATGAATGTATCGTCAATTGGAGATATGTTAAGTGATGTCACTTTCTTCGTATGTCCCGGAAAATACCTTAAATACTTGTTATCATGCAGACTTAGGTATCGTATTGTGTCATCGACTTTTGTGGAACTGTGAATTGCGGTCTATAAAATAATAAATAAGCTAATGGATTTCCCGCTTAAAAGTTAATTAAACTAACCATAGATGAATGTGTGAATCTAATGTGATCAACTCCATACTTTTTTGAATTGACTGTTCTCGTTTGTGTGCCTTTCTCACAGTCATATAGAACTATTTGATCATCTTCAGAGCACGAAATAAGCTTCTCGCCACTAGTTGAAAAGTCTATGGAATTTGATTTTTCTTGATTTTCACGAAACACTTTAGCAACTTTAAAGCTATGAATTACTGCATTGTTTAGCTTCATACTGAATGTTTTTTTATTGTTTAATTAAATTTTAATGCCTGTATTCCTTATACTTTTAGTGATAATTCAATATTTATGAATTTTTAACTTTTTAAAATTCTTGTTTACCTTTTCCGATTATTCAGTCGTCGTCACAATAAACATTTTTATTTTCACAAACCGCATTCACATTTCAGCATTTACTTACAGTGTTCTTTCCATCATTTTATTAGGCTGTCTATGTATTTTGATGGAACTTATGGCTGACTGTCTTCACAATTAAGTGCTTCAATCAAATTTTATGCTGTAAAATAATTTTTAAAAATTTAAAAGTCAAAATTTGAGTTCAAAATTCTAAAACCCTTTAAAATTCAAATATTTGAAAACCGTTGGATTTTTATAGAAATCATAAAAACCATAAAATGCGTTTTGAGCACTAAGTATGGAAACAAATGTTGACGTATTAATTCTTTAGTCACTTAAATTTAAGTGATTAGAAAATAGGTAGTCATTCTGTGACCTTATAACCTAATTGAGTAGCAAGATGTCAAATCAGTTGGATGAAAAGATTGAAAAATCACTGGATGTAATTAATAAAATCACTCAATTCATTCATAATCCTTTAATGTAATCAAGTTTCTTCTATAGATTTTAAAGGAGACATTCCAAAATTATCAATCAAATCAAATATTCTTATCCTTTAATGGCGGTAAAGACTGTACAGTTTTACTGGATCTATTACTTAAACGGTGCTATATAAATGAATCAGATAAATTAGGTATAAAAATTATATACATGAGACAAGTTGATCCTTTTGATGAGATCGAGAGTTTTGTTAAGGAATGTGAAAGCTATTATAAAATAGAAATTAAGGAAATAGAGATTTCATCGATGAAAATTGCTTTAGCTGAAATTTGTAAAAATGATCCAGAACTACAAGCTGTGCTAATGGGTTGTCGAAAAAGTGTAAGCTAGTTCATAAAATTATTTATATAACTCATTTTCAAGGATTCTTAATGTCAACTTTAGGATCCAACATATAAAAATCGTGATGAATTACATTATTTTGAGGTATGAAGCATGTAGCATGTTCATGATTTAATTAATAACTATCATCTTTCAACTTACAGCCCACAGATGGTGATTGGCCTAAATTGATGAGAGTGAATCCGTTACTTGACTGGTCTTGTAAAGATATTTGGGACTATATAATTAGCCACAACGTTCCGTACTGTGATCTGTACAATAATGGATTCACATCAGTTGGCAACAGAAAAAATACCGTTCCTAATCCACATCTTCTTAATGATGATAAGAAAACTTATAGACCTGCCTTTGAACTTACTGATGATACTTTAGAACGAGCTGGTAGATTATGAAAATTGATTTTAAATCCTGTGTCTTTTTAACAAAAATAACGAATAAAATTTGAAAAAAGTATTCAGCCATGCTTTGTTTTCTTCTTTACAGTTGAGTCGTCTTTACCATTTTCCTGTTACTTCGTCTCGCATGCTGTCGTGCAAATATTAAAGAATTTAAATAATTCAAAAAGTACAGCAATATAATAGATAATACACATTAGTTCCAGTGTAGATTATCACTATCTACAACATCCCAGTGATCATTTTGCTTCTTAAATTGAATTAAGCAATCCTTTATCAAATTGTGAAATTGCCACGAAGGAGGAAAAAGTGAAAGTAAAAAATACCTTAATTAAATCCAGTTCTAGTTCATTTACATTATTTTTACTTCCTCATAGCAACATGAATACGTCACTAACTGCTGATGTGATCCGTAAGCTGTTTATGGACTATTTTGCTGAACAAAAGCATATTTATGTTCATTCGTCTTCAACAATTCCTCTTGATGATCCAACATTATTGTTCGCAAATGCTGGAATGAATCAATTTAAGCCAATGTTCTTAGGAACTGCAGATCCAAATTCTGAAATGTCAAAATGGGTACGAGTTGCCAATACTCAGAAATGTATCAGAGCTGGTGGAAAACATAATGACTTGGACGATGTCGGTAAAGATGTTTATCATCATACATTCTTCGAAATGTTGGGTAAGTGAGTCATTCTTGTTTTTGTATATACCTAAAACTTGTTCCTTAAAACTTAAAATTTTAATCCATCGGATTTGTTTTAATCCCAGATTTTAACCCTCGGATTTAATTTTAGGAAATTGGTCATTCGGAGATTACTTCAAAAAGGAGATTTGTACATGGGCTTGGGAATTCTTAACTGATCGTTTGAAGCTTCCAAAGGAACGATTGTATGTTACATACTTTGGTGGTGATGAAAAGACTGGTCTTGAGCCTGATTATGAATGCAAACAAATCTGGGCTGATTTAGGAGTTTTGCCTGCACATATTTTGCCCGGCTCAATGAAAGATAATTTCTGGGAAATGGGAGAAACAGGACCTTGGTATGTATCATTTGATTAATGATGTCATTTCACTACCTATATTATATGTTTTTACCAAGTTTTTCAATAATATGAATAATTTATTTCCAGTGGACCATGTAGTGAGCTCCATTTTGATAGAATTGGTGATCGTAGTGTCCCTGAATTAGTTAATATGGATGATCCTGATGTTTTGGAAATTTGGAATCTTGTATTCATTCAATTTAATCGTGAAGCTGATCAATCACTTAAATTGTTGCCTAAAAAGCATATTGATTGCGGCATGGGATATGAACGTCTCGTTTCAGTCATTCAGAACAAAAGATCCAATTATGATACAGACATTTTTATGCCACTTTTTGATGCTATTCAGAAAGGAACTGGGGCACGTTCATATACAGGAAAAGTTGGTGCTGAAGATATTGATGGAGTCGATATGGCTTATCGTGTTTTAGCTGATCATGCTCGTACTATTACAATTGCATTAGCTGATGGTGGATATCCAGATAATACAGGTAGAGGCTATGTATTGAGAAGAATTTTACGTCGTGCTGTTCGATATGCAACAGAAAAACTTAATGCTAAACCTGGATTTTTCGCAACTTTAGTCAACACAGTCGTTGAATTGCTTGGAAATACATTCCCAGAATTAAAGAAAGATCCATTCCATATTATGGATATAATTAATGAGGAAGAACAGCAATTCTTAAAGACATTGACTCGTGGACGTAACTTACTAAATCGCACAATTGCTAAACTTAAAGACACAAATGTATTGCCTGGAGATGTTGCTTGGCGTTTATACGATACTTATGGATTCCCAATTGATCTTACTCAATTGATGGCTGAGGAAAGGAACATGACAATTGATATGGTCGCGTACGAAGAAGCTAAACAGAAGAGTTATATCCTATCGCAAGGCAAAGCAGCTAATGCAACTGATACAATCAATTTTGATGTCTATGCTATTTCTGAACTTCAAGAAAAGAAAGTTCCAGTCACAGACGATTCCTTCAAGTATCGTTATAAGGCTGAATCAACAGAACCAAAAGCTGAATATGTGTTTGAAGGATGCAGAGGTAAAATCTTGGCAATTAGATGCAATAATGCATTTATTGATGAAGTCACTAGTGGACAAGAATGTGGATTGGTTTTGGACAAGACCAACTTCTATGCTGAGTCTGGTGGACAAATTTATGATCAAGGATATTTCGTAAAAGTTAATGATGAAGGAAATGAATTTACAGTACGCAATGTCTACAATAAAGTCGGTTATATCGTTCATGTTGGTATCGTTGAAGGAACTTTACGCGTTGGAGATGAAGTTGATATTAATTTGGATACAGTTCGTCGTTCCTTAACTATGAAAAATCACTCAGCTACTCATGCTTTAAATCATTCACTCCTTAAAGTTCTTGGAAATGATACAGAACAGCGCGGATCATTGGTTGTTCCTGAAAAACTTCGATTTGATTTCACTAATAAGAGCGCAATGACTGTTAAGCAAATCGCAGAAGCTGAAAAACGTACTCAGGATGTTGTCGAACGTAATGTCCAAATTTATGCTAAGGAATCAAACTTGAAGGTCGCTAAAGCAATTAAAGGATTAAGATCTGTCTTTGATGAGGTGAGTAACGGATATTGTGAATTTGAATTATCAACTGTCAAAAACTTTAACATAAATTTCAAATCAAAAAATAACGGTGAAAATTTATAAACTTCTAATTTTAGGTCTATCCCGATCCAGTAAGGGTTATTTCATTCGGAGTTTCTGTAGAAGATCTTGAAAAGAACCCCGAAGGCGAAGAAGGTGTTGAAACATCTGTAGAATTTTGTGGCGGTACCCATTTACATCAATCAGGTCATATTGTTGACTTTATTATCACAAGTGAGGAAGCTATAGCTAAAGGAATCAGAAGAATTGTCGCTTTGACTGGACCAGAAGCTGAAAAAGCTCGCAAAAAGACTGCCTTATTGGAGAATGAATTGAAAAACCTTAAATCTCAAATTGATGCTGCTGGAAATGACATCAACATTAAGGAAATGACAAAATTGATTGTCGACCTGACTGAAGAAGTGTCACAAGCTGTAATTCCTTACGTAAAGAAAGATGAGATTCGTAACACATTGAAAGATTTAAAGAAAATATTGGGCGATAAGGATAAGGCTGTTAAAGCTGCTGTCTCGAATGTTGTCATTGAACAAGCCAAGCAGCTTTGTGAAGAAAATCCAGAAGCTAAATTCTTCGTTCATAGATTTGAAGCTTTCAATAACACAAAAGCTCTTGATTCTGCCTTAAAACAAGTCAAAACATTAAATGCTGAAACATCTGCTTTATTCGTGACTGTCGATGAAGATTCTAAGAAAATCTTCTGTTTGGCTGCAGCATCAAAAAGTGGAATTGAGAAAGGACTTAAAGCTAATGAATGGGTTCAACATTTATCAGTTGTTATGGGCGGCAAAGGAGGTGGAAAACCTGATTCTGCACAAGCACAAGGAAGCAATTTTGATAAAGTCAATGAAATCTTGGAATTGGCTAAACAATTTGCAAGCTCAAAGCTCGAGTAAATCGACTTGATTAGATAGAAACCTTAATTTGCATTTTTAATCTTCATTTATTCATGAATTTTATATACCTAAAATTTGTTTCAATAGCCTTGGAATAAAGCTTTCATCATCTGCCATTAAATATCTGAACTTTATTACCAGCTTGACTTGACTTGACGAAGCAGAAACTTAAATCTGGATCTTAAATCGTTTGATTTAAATTTTAATCCTAGGATTACCTTAAACTTTTGATACAAAATCCTTAAAAGCTCTTTAATTATTCATTTCAGCCTTCTTCTTGTTCTCAATTTCCTTCTGCTCATCATACATTTTCCTTATTACTTGCAGCAGTTCTGTGATGTTTTTTCCAGTTTTAGCACTAATTGGGATTATTGGGATGTCCTTAAGTTTTTCCCTAAAAAGCTCGATATTTTCTTCAGATTCTGGAAGGTCTATTTTATTGGCTACAATGATTTGCTTTCTATTGACTAGTTCCTTACTGAATTTTTTAATTTCATTGATTAGCATGAAGTAGTCATTCCAAGGCTCAGGATTAGATACATCTACAACGAATAAAAGTGTGTTACAGCGTTCAGCATGCTTAAGAAATTGAATGCCTAATCCACGATTTTCAGCAGATCCTTCAATTAATCCGGGCAAGTCAGCAACTCCAATTTGCTCATAATCACTGTACGGGATAATTCCAATATTCGGTCTTAGTGTTGTGAACGCATATGGTGCTACTTTTGGTTTCGCTCGTGTTATTGCTCTTAAAAGTGTCGATTTACCAGCATTTGGAAGTCCAATAAAGCCAACATCAGCCATGCTTCTAATTTCTAAATGATAGCTTATGTCCTCGCCTTTTGCACCATATTCACATATTTCTGGAGCTTGTTGATCATCTGTACAGAAAAATTTATTTCCTCGTCCACCAGCACCACCTCTAGCTGCTATAAACATCATATCCTTTTCATTTAAATCTCCAACAATTTGTCCACTTTTATTCTTAATTATCGTCCCTAATGGCACTTTAACAACTTTATGATCTGAGGTTTTTCCATGACAGTCTTTATTCATTCCTTTCTCTCCATCTGATCCTGTTATTATTGATGTCAAATGCTTAAAATCTGAAGTATTATTGCATGCTTGAAATATAACATGAGCCCCATTTCCTCCATCACCACCATCTGGCCCAGCTCTATCATTTGCGAATGATCTTAAAAATGAACTGCATCCATCACCTCCTTTCCCAGCTATTACTCTTACTGGCCTTGAATCCATAAAAAATTGAGACTAAAAAGATCCAGTAGACAAAATTTAAAAAATATAAATATGAACTTAAAGAATGAGTCAGCACCAATCACTTTAAAATACGATTGAAATTAACAAACTTACAGTTTCTCGAGATGATTTTGATTTTAAGCTTTTTAAAGCTACTGGCGAAGGTTTCTTCACATAATTTCTTATTTGTATGCCTATTGTCCGTCTTATTGATGCGAACATTGTGCCTGTCAAGTTAATTAAACTATATAAATTTTTAAAAATGTATTAAAATGCTTGCCGATATTTTGTAAACAAACTTTTTAACCAAGTTAAGTATATTATTAATTAAGTATACGTAGTTATTGACCACGAAAGCGCATTTTCTTTGCACAGAAATTATAGGTACAGAAAGAAGTTTAAAACTTCAACACAGTTGTAACTGTCAAAAAATATTTGAAAGATAACTGTCAGAAAATATTTGAAAGCTAAGAGACAGACCACACAATGATTCAGATTTGGAAAAAGTGTTTAAAATCAGAGTTGCGATCTGTCACAGGTCAACAAAAACAGCCCACCTGTCACAGGCCGTTACCTGTTCACAGGTCAAATTTTTTCGCCTATCACAGGTCTGACCTGTCAAAGGTTCTACCTTTCACAGGCCGTTACCTGTTCACAGGTCAAATTTTTTCGCCTGTCACAGGTCAGACCTGTCAAAGGTTCTACCTGTCACAGGCCGTTACCTGTTCACAGGTCAAAATTTTTCGCCTGTCACAGGTCAGACCTGTCAAAGGTTCTGCCTGTCACAGGTCGTTACCTGTTCACAGGTCAATTTTTTTCGCCTGTCACAGGTCTGACCTGTCAAAGGTTCTGCCTGTCACAGGACGTTACCTGTTCGCAGGTCAATTTTTTCCACCTGTCACAGCTCTGACCTGTCGCAGTCCTCACCTGTGACAGGTCGTCACCTGTTGACAGGTAGAAAAAATCTACCTGTCACAGGTTTGACCTGTCACCTGTCACCTGTCACCTTTGACTATCGAAATTTTTTTCTTCTAGTGAAGTATAAAGATTTCATACAAAATTCATCAATTTTTTTGCTTCCTCAAGTCACGAGTTCAAATCTCACCGCAAGCAACTTTCTTTTTTTGCATTTTTATGATTTGTTTTTAAACTTTTTTGATATAACATTAAGTTTTATGACAAAGTTTTCCATTTTCATATTTTATATCTTCACTTTCTATATTTTAACATGTATTTTAAATTTTTTCCATATATTTTCATACAAATTCAACTTTTTTTGTCATATTTTAGTTTACCAAGCTGAAATCTGACACAAAGGCACTTTTCCTAGATCTGGATGTTCTTAAATCGTAATCTTGGATTATAATTTATTATATATTTCGACTTTTTGCGGTCTCGAATGACAAAGTCTATACTAGTTTTAATATTTTATGCCATTTTATGATCCAAGATTACGATTTTAGAACATCCAGATCTAGGAAAAGAGCCTTTGTATCAGATTTCAGCTTGTTAAAATAAAATATGTATAAAATATTGATAAAATATGACAAAAAAATTTAAATTTGTATGAAAATATATGGAAAAAATTTAAAATAAATGTTAAAATATAGAAAGAGAAGAAATAAAATATGAAAATGGAAAACTTTGTCATAAAACTTAATGTTATATCAAAAAAGTTTAAAAACAAATCATAAAAATGCAAAAAAAGAAAGTTGCTTGCGGTGAGATTTGAACTCGTGACTTGAGGAAGCAAAAAAATTGATGAATTTTGTATGAAATCTTTATACTTCACTAGAAGAAAAAAATTTCGATAGTCAAAGGTGACAGGTGACAGGTGACAGGTCAAACCTGTGACAGGTAGATTTTTTCTACCTGTCAACAGGTGACGACCTGTCACAAACCTGTGACAGGTAGATTTTTTCTACCTGTCAACAGGTGACGACCTGTCACAGGTGAGGACTGCGACAGGTCAGACCTGTGACAGGCGAAAAAAATTGACCTGTGAACAGGTAACGACCTGTGACAGGCAGAACCTTTGACAGGTCTGACCTGTGACAGGCGAAAAAAATTGACCTGTGAACAGGTAACGACCTGTGACAGGCAGAACCTTTGACAGGTCTGACCTGTGACAGGCGAAAAAATTTGACCTGTGAACAGGTAACGGCCTGTGACAGGTAGAACCTTTGACAGGTCTGACCTGTGACAGGCGAAAAAATTTGACCTGTGAACAGGTAACGACCTGTGATAGGCAGAACCTTTGACAGGTCTGACCTGTGATAGGCGAAAAAATTTGACCTGTGAACAGGTAACGGCCTGTGACAGGTGATCTTTTGACAGAAACTGTCACCTTTACCTGTGACAGGTACCTGTCGTCGCAACTCTGTTTAAAATTTCCTTGTGCTCAATACTTTTCTGACACATTAGAAAATTGAAAGTTTTTGTTGATTTCTTTTGATTTGATTCTTTAAGCATCTTCTACATAATGTTTTCATTAATTGCTCAAAAACTCTATAATATAAAGGATAAACATGATTTTTTTAGCAAAAGTATGTAAAAGTTTATCAAAAAATATTGTGCATGTCCAAATTTTGTATGAAAATTTATGTAAACTTTGAACGCAAATATCTCGAAAACGGCACTAAACGGCATGATCATATTAGTATGGGAGATGGATTTAAGCTTAAATAATTGATTTATATAGGTTTCAGAGAGGTCTTTGGAAGACTTTAACTTATGAATAGTTTAAGTTTTGTAAAAAATACTCAGATTTCAATTGCATTTTTAAGACTTAATAAGCAGTTTTCTTTTGATTTGGTAGTTTTCATATGCAAATCTAAGCTTAATTTTTCAAACAACAGCTAGCAAGATATGAAAATAACAACTTAAAGTAGAGAAAATCAAAGTTTTTTTTTCATATACAAATTGTAAACAAATTTTTGTTGAAAAAAAAATTAAAGATTTCTGGAGTTAGACATCCAATTGAAACGAGATATTTTCACTGAATATGCCTTAAGTTAAGATCTTTAATCTGGCATTTAAAAGATGAAGTTTAATTAATATGTTATTTTTGAATTTTTGAACATTTTTTCCGAATCTGAATCATTGTCGACCTCAATGATTTAGAATCGGAAAAAATGTTCAAAAATTCAAAAATAACATATTAATTAAACTTCATCTTTTAAATGCCAGATTAAAGATCTTAACTTTATGCATATCCTATGAAAATATCTCGTCCCAATTTGATGTCTAACTCCAGAAATCATTAATATAATCTCACCCAAAATTTGTTTACAATTTGTGTATGAAAAAAAAAATATGATTTTTTCTACTTTAATTTGTTATTTGGATGTCTTGGAAGCAGTTGCTAGCTAATTTAAGCTTAGCTTTACATATTAAAACAACCAACTCAATAGAAATCTGCTTATTAAGCCTTAATAATGAATTGAAATCTGAGTATTTTTGCACAACTTAAACTATTCATAAGGTAAAAAGTCTTCCAAAGACCTCTCTGAAACCTATACAAATCAATTAATTAACCTTAAATCTATCTCCCATACAACTGGGGACATTCCGTTTAGTGCCGTTTTCGAGATATTTGCGTTCAAAGTTTACATAAATTTTATTATATTATGGACTGAGTTTTTGAGCAATTAATGAAAACATTATGTAGAAGATGCTAAAAGAATCAAATCAAAAGAAATCAACAAAAACTTTCAATTTTCTAATGTGTCGGAAAAATATTGTGCACAAGGAATTTTTGAACATTTTTTCCGAATCTGAATCATTGTGCAGACAAACAAATTGTGTTTTACACGCTTTTTTTTAAATACAAAAATGTGCTTTAAATTCAAAAAACAAATCAACCGTTAAAATATTTTAAAAGCTTCTTAAAGCTTTTTTTATGAGAAACATTGAATATTTTGAAATAAAAAAGCTTTTTAAAGTATCCCTGTGATCACAATCATAAACAGGTTATTCCTTTAACAGCCTTAATCATTCAACAAAAATCTAAAATAAATATTTATGCAGGGAAAACATAAAATATTCATGTATAAATCCATCGAGAGAGTGAGAAAATTTTCATTCATAAATTTCTTTTTATTAATCCTACACTAGCACGAGGAAGGAAAAATGTGAGAGCAGCACATACACAAAAAAAAATCATGAATGAAAACAAAAATAATTTTTTTCCTCTTCACCACACTCAGTTTACTTTTGTCATTTGCCCAAAAAAGATCGAAGGAATTTAGTCTCGTCGGATAGACTTTTTTTTTTGTTTTTAAAGCTACAGAAAAGTGAGAAAAAAAATTATAATAATTAAGTTTGTTGTCAATACATCAAAAGATAATATTTCGTGATAGATTAAGAATGTAAATAGAATTATTTCGATAATAATTTCGCCTTCCTGTACGTACTGCATGAAAAGATCGTTAGCAATTTTAATTAAAATTAAATTAATGTGAAATATTTTCACTGTGATCTTGAGAAAATGTATCATAGCTTGATGAAAATTAGAGGGAAAATTATGTAACGTTATAATTATAACTTACAATCATGATTCATAATCTAATCTTATCAGAAAATGTGTGTATGTGCAACAAAATAAGGCTTGGTGCCTTGTAATGAAAAAAATTCTTTTATCTTTATGGAGAACAAAAAATTCCTCGATCAAATGATAAGCGTTGCCAAAAATGAGTTTATATCATATCATAAAGTGCGATAGATTGATATTATTTTTTATCAATCTACCAAAAAATATTTTTAAAACAATTTTACGATCGTTTTGTCACGTTTGAAAGAAAGTGACTCAGAAATTTGTGGTTCGATTTTAGCTTAATGTTGATTTTATTTTTAATCCTTGATTGTATTCTTGAGAAAATGTGAAGTATTACAATGAAAAATTGACATTTTGATTTTTAACGGTTTCAAAAAATTCAAATATTGTCAAAATGAACTGAAATGAAATGAACTGTCAATTTTGCTGAACAGATTTTCTCAAGGATTAGCATTTTTATGCAATTTAAAGCAACAAACTCATTGAAGGCTTTGTATTAAAGCATCAAAAGTTTTTTTTTATTTTATTTCAATGTGTAAATCAACTCTAGAAACTTAATATTTGTGATTTTTAAAAGAAATTTGTTTGAAACATCAGTGACAAAGGATTAGATTATTCAAATTTCAGAAGACCGTTAGAATTTAACAAACAAAAAACCGTTAAATATTCTGAAATTTTTTATGATAATTTCAATAAAGTTCAATAAAACGTGGCTTTACCTAGAGAATATTTGATCGTAAAGATAGCTAATCTGAAGATCTTTTAAATGTTATCCGCACAAACTCAATGAATTTTTGTGCACTTATCAAATCTCTTGTAGCATAAATGATTTACCACAATATGAATTGATAGATATTATAAAAAAGAAACAGAACTTTAATTTAATTTCTTTAGTGCGAAACTCATAGCCTCATTTGCTCCATTAAAAACAGTCAAGTCAAATAATATTTTAAACACTTGTTTTGCGCGAAGTTAAGAGTGTAAATAAAGACGACTGCAGTCGAGGATGAAAATGGATATTTTTAGATAAAATACAATTCTTTGGAGGCAGTTATTAAGAGACAAAAATAAGAAGAAGAAGAAGCGACACTATAGTTTGTAGTCGCGAGACAAAAAATATTATTCAATGTAGAGATGAAATAACAAGAAAATGGGGTCTTTCATAAATGATGCAATTCCCAATTCCCCTCAGTCATAAAGGACTTTTCTTTTAAAAACGTCTTACAGCGTCAGATCCCCCCCCCCCCTTAATAATTGTACATCATTTATGAACAACTCCCAAAATATTTCACCAATTTATACACAGCGACTATTTATCATCAAAAATTCAATTCAATTAAATAGAGTAACAGAAAAATCATCGGCAGGCTGTGAGAATAGAAACGGAAGATATAGATGATTTTTTAAACAATTTATTATTGTTGTAATATATTTCGTATAGCGAGTAGAGTCATAATATATATTTTTTATGATGAACACACGCATTTTTTTGGCATTCACTCATAATTCCATTTAGAATTTCTATTTCATTTTTTTCATCTCTCGACATTGCGGTGTCAATAAAATCATGATTTTTTAAAAACTGCGAATCTTAGAATTTTGATTCATGTTTATAGAAATATTGATAAATACTTACTGTCGGAATAGATTTATGGGCGAAGACAAGCTTGTTTTGATACTAATAAGGGAGTAGTTTACAATAATTTCTAATATTAAGCGGAAAGCTGGATTTAAAGTCTAAACCTGAGTGACTCAAAAGAAGTTTAATTTTGAATAATTCAAACATTTAAGATCACAATAATCACACCTCTTTGCTAGTAGGAGATTAAAAATCATAAACTGAATAATTGAACAGCCCCTTGCAGTCCAATCGCAATCCATTGCCTAAAAGAAAATAAACTTACAGAATTCTCCACATCTAGTTTAAGACATGTCAAAAATCTAATGTATGCCTTTTTCCTTTGTGAAATCAAGGCCAGACATATCGTCAAATAACAAAACTGATTAAGACATGTATTCTTCGAATATTAAATGAGTATTGATAGAATTATCGATAACAATACCATTGAATCAGTGATAATGCCATTAAATAAGCTATAAAGAGAGATACCCGATCGACACAGTTTCTAATTTTGCTATTATAACGCTGTATAAAGTTTATTGGAGGTGAACTTACAGTTAACTGCTAATGGTGGTTCATTTAAAGTCTCCTTTGGGGTAGAAAGTTCTTAATTTTGAGGTTAAGTTGTTCAGTTTTGAGGTTAAGTTGCTAAATTTTGAGGTTAAGTTCTTCAATTTTGAGGTTACGTTCTTCAATTTTGAGGTTAAGTTGCTAAATTTTGAGGTTAAGTTCTTCAGTTTTGAGGTTAAGTTGCTAAATTTTGAGGTTAAGTTCTTCAATTTTGAGGTTAAGTTGCTCAATTTTGAGATTAAGTTCTTCAGTTTGAGGTTAAGTTGCTCAATTTTGAGGTTACGTTCTTCAATTTCGAGGTTACATTATTCAGATTTTAGACTAAGTTGATCAATTTTGAGGTATTGTTACAAAACACCTCAGTTCACAGCGACTTTGTTCTAAGCATCCCTATGTCATTCAGTGGTGGTAACGTTTAAAATTCTGTCGATCGGGACATCAAACAAAATTAAGAATGAACTGCTCATATTTCATTCACAAGCTAATGTATCTTAAAAGAAAAACTTGCGAAAGGAAACCGGAAACAGTAAATGAAAAAAAAAATCTGATGATTTTCACGTGTGAAAGAATTCAATTTCGTGTATAAGCATTAAAGATGTGATCGTAAACATTGATTCACAATTTAATGAAATTTTCATCTTCTTCCTTTTTCTTTATCTCTTCTATTTCATCTGTCAATGCGTCGCCTATCACTTACATCTTAATGCACACGAAAAAATTGTCAATTTACATTATGGAACTACATGTGTGTATAGCAATGGATATCATTAGCATCTCGCCGTGTTCAAAGAGAATATCAAATGAGGCTGGCAAGGAGCTAAATGATTGTCACATTCCCAGTGTATCCAAGAGTGAAATACAAAATTTTCTTGCGGTAAGTCGAGCATTAAATTTTCATATCCTTTATCCTGTGGAGCTTTTAACATCTGCAGTTTATTTTATGGACGTTGTCAATTTTTTATTCATAGTCTAAATTGAATAGAGAGTTTAAAGTATAGGTTGGGTGTGCAATTGTTATATTATTCAATATACAAGCAATTACTGCCAATGGGATATTCTCCAGTTGTTCATTTTCAATTAAAATTAAAGCTGAAATTTTTAAATTGAATTATTCAAGGACCTTCTCTTTAATCACGCCACTATGGGGCAAAATGAAAAAAAAAGGGACTTTCACTTTGAAAAATGGACTTTTCCGATTTACACTTTTTGGGTGATTTTTTCTTGTAGAGGACATAAAAGTAGATAGAAATGCCAAATTTCAGGTCATTTGGTGCTGATTTCGCGATTCTAGAGCTGTTTGAAGTTGAAAACTAGTGAAAATTCTGGTTTTTTCATACCATGTTTGAACCGGGAAATATCTTAACTGGTTTAAGATATTGCAAAACGGTTTTCAGTTCCTATTAGTAGTATATAAGAGCTTTATTTTGACATATAACAAAGTTTAGGTTCTGAATGTTTTCGTGCCATTATGGTAGAACATATGTGAAAATTTCAGGAAAATTATCTTCAAACAAGCCGCAACTATCATAAATGAAGAGTTTCCAGGCAAGTAAAAACGCAGTTTTGTAGCCCCATATATCTAGTTTTCAAAACTGTATAAACTTTGAAAAAGTAAGCTAACGTAATTGAGTTATGTTGATTTTAGTAGGTCGTTGAGTATTTGGCCAAAAACTAATAATTCTTTTAAAAATACGAAAACATAGTTTTAAAAATAGTTTTTTGGTGTTTTCTTATGAAAAATAACAATTTAAATGATTTTGTGAAGAAAATTTTTCAAAAACTTCAAAATCTTTCGAGATATAGGGGGTATGTGCTCTCCATCGATTTGGCCATTTGTCACCCTACTTAAACCACTATAACTTTTTTTTGAAAAAATATTTTTTAATTCTGTTTTCGGATTATTGTAGCCTAATGTAATATCTATCCAACGATATATAATACTTGCTAGTTAACTTAGTCCTGGTTATTTATAGGGCTGTTGATTGTGACATACGCAGTTTTTGAAATATTCCCAAAAATTGCATTTTCAAAAATACCACTTTTAAGCAATCTCGAGTATTTTTTTAGAACTTTTTTATGTTTATTTATGACATTTATGAGATTATAAAGCCAAAAAATTAAATTTAGAAACTTTTTACTTCCCTAGTTAACAACTTTGTAAAGTACCCTTGGTAGTCACTATCAGGTGTGAAAATCTCAGTTTTGAAACTATTTTATATATATACTCGTGAAATTCTCTCTACACATCATATCAGTTTTGAACTTCATTGAACAAGTCACTTTCAAAAATGAACCAAAATTCAACACTTACGAAGAAAACACTCTGTGAAATTCTTCGCGACAAAACGTTAAATCTTGCAACACAGCACACGTACTGTTTGGCAGTAATAGAAGAAATTCATGGGAGAGAATTAGCGGAATCACAGAAACCAAGTTTAATTAATAAATTAAACAAGCTGAAGTCAAAGTCAAAAATGTTTTGTAATCAGTCAAATTGGAATAATGCATTAAGAGATCATGCAGATTTCTATGAAGAGGAATTTGAAGTTGACTCACGATACTATATATGAAGCAGAAAATGTTACTGACACAGATGAAGATATGGATGAGATTGAATACATCGTCCATGACATAGAGCCTTCATCCAGCAAGGGCATCAAGAGGAAATCATTTGAACAACTAACAAGCGATAAGCATCGACGTAGAAGAGTGGACGAATTAGATATCAGTTTAAAAGAAGCAAAAGGATCATTGTTATCAGTTCTTCACTTGGCACTTCGCCTTTCTAAAGAAGAAGGAAAAGTAGAAGGAGCTAAAATGTTAAAAGAATTTATTAAGGCGTGCCAAAAAGGAGAGGATCTTCCAGAAAAAACTACATCAAAACCTAAACAACTAGATATACATGTAGCTCTAGGTGTAAAAGCCTTTAACAATTTATCTCGAAATCAGTACAACAATATTCGACAAGTCCTGAAACTGGAATGCGAAAACGTTTTACCGACAGCTAAAAAATTGTTGAGGTTAGAGAAACAATGCTATCCTGATGACATAACGGTCACCGATACAAGAGCCGTTATTCCACTAAAAAATTTGACACAACTCACCACAAAAAGAGTTATTGAAGCACACAATTCAGAAATATACGACAAAATCAAAATATTACCTTCAGAATCAACTCCAAAAGTTATTCATGCAGAAATGATCGTCACATGGGGGATGGACGGAACAACAGGACAGTCACAGTATAACCAAGGAAAAACAAATTCAAGAAATCAAGAACGAGATAGAACACAACCGAATCAAACGACTAATAATGAAATTATAGAAGACAAATCACTATTGACAGTTAGTATGAGTGTTCAGCAACTACGACATGAAGACGAAAACGGAAATTATATCTGCTTATGGGACAACGAAAACAGTCAATCTGTATACTCAGTACGACCAATACAACTTGAACATGCCAAAGAAACCAGAGTAAATGTTAGAAGGATATATGAAGATATAAAAAATCAAATATCAAAACTTGAACCACAGAGATTCATATGTGAAGACATGCTTTTGGAAATTACGTACAAATTCTACCCCACAATGTTAGATGGAAAAGTTTACACAGACCTTACAGAAACATCAGGATATTGCAGATGTCAGCTTTGTAGATCTGGACCAAACGAGATGAGTGACATAAATAATCTTGATAATGGAAGATTCGAAAAAACACACAGAAAATTTGTTAAAGAACACTTGTATTTCAACACTCAGCCACTTCATACATCAATGAACGTACTCACGACTCTATATGATTTGTCATATAAACAATATGTTCAAAAACACTGGCTGGAGATAACTGAAGAGGAACAGATTGTTTTAGATGTTGAAAAGGCTAGAATAAAGCAAGCAATGTGGGATGCATTTAATGTTCGTGTACTCGAACCAAGACAAGGGGGAGCTGGATCATCAGATACAGGAAACGTTGCAAGAAAAGTTCTTGAAAATCCAGAGCTTCTAGCTAAAACTCTATATCTTAATGAAGAAATAATTAAACGTATATGCTATGTGCTAAACCAAATTCGAAGTTTAGAACCAGTTGATGATCTAGATGAATTTGATAGGTACTGTAAAGAAACATACAGAATGTTTTTGACAACATATAGTTGGTTCAAAATACCAGTAACACTTCACAGAGCACTTGCTCATGCAAAACACTACATGGAAGCCTTACCATTACCTCTAGGAAGAATGAGTGAAGAAGCCGGGGAGTCACAAAACAAATATCTCAGACAAGATAGAGAACTACGTGCCAGAAAAACTTCAAGAATACACAGTTTTACGGATGTTATACATAGAAGACTCTACAGTTCTGATCCAGTAATAATAAAAAAATATATGGATGTAATAAATAAAAGGTTAATGAGAAAAAATGTCCAAGAAGAAGGTGAAACACCTGAGCAACAAACAGAAAATGAGGAAGAAGATGAGGAAGAAATTGAATTGATTGAGCCAGAAGGAGAAGGTTATGACTTTTCCCAAGCAGAAAACTATGATTATTCCGAAGGACAAGACCATGAATATTCTGAAGAAGCAAACAACGAATGAATAAATAAATTTCATTAAATATGATAAAAAAATGTAAATTAAATTTCTTGACAAATAAACAAAATTTCATTAAACTAAAAATTAAACTTTATTAATTTTACCTATTATAGTTGCGTATCAGAGTATTTTTTTTATTACTCTAATGATAATAGCTTTTTTCAGACTTAACATTTCTTAAAAAAGTCCAAAAAATACTCGAGATTGCTTAAAAGTGGTATTTTTGAAAATGCAATTTTTGGGAATATTTCAAAAACTGCGTATGTCACAATCAACAGCCCTATAAATAACCAGGACTAAGTTAACTAGCAAGTATTATATATCGTTGGATAGATATTACATTAGGCTACAATAATCCGAAAACAGAATTAAAAAATATTTTTTCAAAAAAAAGTTATAGTGGTTTAAGTAGGGTGACAAATGGCCAAATCGATGGAGAGCACATACCCCCTATATCTCGAAAGATTTTGAAGTTTTTGAAAAATTTTCTTCACAAAATCATTTAAATTGTTATTTTTCATAAGAAAACACCAAAAAACTATTTTTAAAACTATGTTTTCGTATTTTTAAAAGAATTATTAGTTTTTGGCCAAATACTCAACGACCTACTAAAATCAACATAACTCAATTACGTTAGCTTACTTTTTCAAAGTTTATACAGTTTTGAAAACTAGATATATGGGGCTACAAAACTGCGTTTTTACTTGCCTGGAAACTCTTCATTTATGATAGTTGCGGCTTGTTTGAAGATAATTTTCCTGAAATTTTCACATATGTTCTACCATAATGGCACGAAAACATTCAGAACCTAAACTTTGTTATATGTCAAAATAAAGCTCTTATATACTACTAATAGGAACTGAAAACCGTTTTGCAATATCTTAAACCAGTTAAGATATTTCCCGGTTCAAACATGGTATGAAAAAACCAGAATTTTCACTAGTTTTCAACTTCAAACAGCTCTAGAATCGCGAAATCAGCACCAAATGACCTGAAATTTGGCATTTCTATCTACTTTTATGTCCTCTACAAGAAAAAATCACCCAAAAAGTGTAAATCGGAAAAGTCCATTTTTCAAAGTGAAAGTCCCTTTTTTTTTCATTTTGCCCCATAGTGCACGCAACAGTTTCAAGAATGAATAATTAAGCTATTAAACTTCTTTTATTGAATTTTCTCATCAGGCACGTCCTGTTAAATCCGATCAAGAAATCATTAGAAGTTCTATGGCTGAAGATGATCCCAAGTGTATATCAGAAGAAGACAACAAGAGTTCGCCACATCGCTGGGGCAGACACCATAAAGGAGCAAAGAAATTGGCAAATCTATATAGCACAAGTGAGCATGTCATTAATTATTATTAGCATGGCTCTCGCGATTGAACTTAATGCGAGAAATTATTTTTATTGTTAAGAAATCGAAAGGAATGATATCTCAAGAGAATCCTTTAAGTATCGGGATATTGATCTTTAGCTGCTTAATAGTACAAAGAATGCTATTTGATAGATCCAGTAATGATATTATTGATGAAAAGGTTAAAAATTTAATTTTTATTAAGCTCATATCATGCGTACATAAATGATTGTACTGACTACTTTGGCTACTATTAAGCTTAGTCGTAATATCGTGCAGAATAATTTACCCTGCAAATTAGCATACAGACATAATTTTCACCGCAATAATTAATTTATTAGACATGCATAGAACTTTTTTTTTAGTTCACACGACGTAATGCTACTTACCCCAAAGTTATGTGTTTAAATTGTTAGCTTATCATCCATCGCAAAGTTTTTACTTCTATTTTACACAGTAAATAATCTAACTCACGACATATAGGATCTTTGAAACTGTAAATTATTAATTGACACGCATGAATACACGCACATACATCATATTATGTACAAATTGAATTGTCAATGCATCAATAATCAACTCAATGTGAACAGACAATATCAAGCAGTTTAACTTTTCATATTAAAATGATTTAACCGTCCGAAATTTTTCCTGTTTAATGCTAAAGCATGCACAGATCATAAATCAATATGTAGGAAAATAAAACTACGTGAAAATGTTGATAGCCATGTGATATATGCGTGGCACGAGTTAACAATAAGATTTAATAATGTGTATATTGCCCATAATTGAGGTTTTTATTCGATTCCTGTAAAAAAAAGTAGATTATCGGACATGAAAGTTTGATATTTCTCATTATCAGCATTTTGTTCTGTGTGCGTAAAGAATTTGGAGATGGGGAGGATTTTAAAAGGAAATCCAATTCGGGTCAAGTTCACTATTGAAACGTGCTGGGAATTGACGATTAATCAGAACGTTTGTTTTTGCTTTAAATGATTTTCTTTTCATTATTGGAAATATTAATCCGTGTGAAGCCTTAGTTCTACTAGTTGTATTGTAGTCAATAATAGGCAGTCATTTAACGTTTCCATTTAATAATCATTAACGACGATGATGATGAGCTTTAAAAGAAATGTTTGGTTTGGGAAAGATAAAGGATTTGTTGGAGTTTATAGATTTTAATATAGTTGAAGTAATTTTGTATTTGTAGTTTAATTAAAACATACCAAACAGTTTTATTGTAATAAAACGTCTTTATTCTTCAGAGTTCGTAAACAAACTGAATATTTATATGAAAAGGGGTAAACAACTATGTTACAAATAAATACAATCTAAATTACAAATTAACGTTATGTAAGATAGTCTAATTTTCGATAGGTTCATGTTAAGACCCGTTAAGACTTGTTCTTTCATCAGTATTTACAATTCGAAAGAATCTAATGCTATCAAGGAAAATTTTTAATTTTAATTCCTTATAAAACCACTGTAAAATTATTTATAAAAACCGCATTGATTCATAAGCTTTGATTCAAAGGTTTCAATCGGTCTGAACAGGTTTCATCCTGACATTAAGATAACAAAGTTCCGCAAACAAAAAACAGTGTTAAGTCACAACAAAACCAAAAATTGACATTGAGGAACCGTGATATCATGAAAATGATAACACAGCATTTAACTTTTAATCAGTGGCTCACAAAGATAATTATCGCCACAACTGCATAGAGGATTATCAATAGTTGATGAATCATAATAAAAACAAATAGTAATTTTGTACTCAGCAAAAAAAAAAAAACATTTGCTGTTTATCTTTAGAACTTATCACTTCTTCTTTAAATGGATCAAGTTCTTGGTTGTTGATAAAAATTAATGTGAGTTGATAACAAACACTGCAGAATTGATTGGAAGTTAATTTCGGAATAGGTATTGAAGTGCACGTAAGCCATCATTCAAATTGTGAGCTGAATTGATTTCTATACTGGTTTTTAGAGCTACCTTTCTACCTACTCTATATATTCACAGTTAACATCAAAATATGAAAAATTTTAATTCCAAAGTAGATTGCTTTATGCAGTCAGACTGTACTTAGATTAAGACGTGAATAGATGTTTAAATTAGATAGACATAAATGACTGTTTTTAACTCAGTTGTATGTACAGTACCACGGATAATCCAAGCTTTCATTGCTTCCCATCGATACCAACTCCCACTCCCACCAAAACGATTAATTAAGGCAACTCCATCATAACCCCATTAAACTCTGTTCACGAAAAAAATCGACATTATCAATAGCGTGTTTATCAAGCCTGTTATAACAATTTAAAGAGAATGCAGCACGTGTAGTAATTATTTATACTTAGCATGCGGTAAAATTTTTACCAGCAATTGATTTTTTTTTTTGTCAGGAAGTGGCACCGAAAATAAAAATGCGTAGAGGACTTAATCAGCTTTGACATCTATAGACAAATATGGTACTGATCAAAATTATCAGGCTTGATTTGTCCACCCTCAATGATCTAATGTTCATATATGCTGCATTATATCCAGTTTTAATCAATTTCGAGAACCTGCATAGACCCCCTTAGTAAACCACTAATATTAGACGTCATTAAACAATGACCCTCGTAAAAAGTATCAAATAAATGGAATGCCCAACTCTACATGAGATAGTCTTACGACACATCAACATGCAATGATAGTAAATTTTTATTGCCATTTTTAATCAGCATTATGCCTTTCGGAAGTCACTACAAAAAGGATCTAATTTAAGTTGATTTAATTTTCTCACATTCGCGTCATTCCTCTCTTTCTCTGAGAATTTATTATATAGCTACTCTGTCGTTGTTGCTTCTTTTAATCGTATGTTTTATTTTTGGCATGCCTATGCTGTTCCTTACAATTGTAGAGTATTAAAATAATACAGAAAATAAATATCATAAAAAATTTCTATTTCAATGTCATTAGGGCTAAATTTAGACATCGCGGTAAGCGTAAAGGAACTGATATTTAAAGCGGTTTTCTATTAATAATACTCTTGACTGGTCGGTCGTTATGTTGAGCTCAAATGTCTTGGAAATGTCATTACCACTTTCCTTAGATTAGTAAATAAAATTTTTATGGTCACTCGGAAATGCATTTAGGGGATAGAACTTACAATTTTTGCGTGGACGGGAAGTTTTGGAAAGCTGATGGGGTGTCAAGGGGCCCTACAGACTCAAAATACTTGCTTTTTCATTAACACGTGCTTAGCGGTAGCTAAAAGGACTCGAAATCTCAGCTAAGGTACCGCTCAGCACGCTGGAATCTATTTAGACTTAATACCCCCCTAAATACATCCCTGGTATCACCTTTTGTCGTCACCATTTTTTATGACAAAAAGAAACGAAAACGTTTTGTTGGACATTTCTGTCGTCATCAAACTAAAGCAATAGCATGACAATAAGCTTTTTATTCTTAGTGACATACTAAAAGTGTAATGCTAAGCCTTATTTGCATAAACATTCTTCACGATTTCGGCTAGATGTGTGTCTTGTGTGCGTTTAATAAGGAAAATAAAAATTATGAGCTTTGATGGAAGCTTTTATGTATGAATGTGGTTAAACACTAGAAACAGGCACAGAAAGCTCTGAATATTTTTGCTTTATCAAAATCAACATAAGTCGTACAAGCCTCGCATCACGCTTTTTGTATCGATTACAAATTCCTTCTTGTCTAAAATTGAAGGATTCTTGATGCTTCAGCAGAAAATTTTGCTTCTTTGTCCATTTGTGGCTTTTATTTCTATTCAAATGGTGATTTTATGTTTTTCTGGCATGCAGATGTGATTTTATTGATTTTGTTGGATGTGATTTTTGGATATTCTTAGTTTGTGTTTACAGACTTTGAACAGTATTGGTCGATAAATACTTAGGTCTTTTGAAAAGCTTGAGCTTGCTCTTAAGATTGTCAAAACAATCAAAAAGCTCAAGGATTATTCAAAAAGCTCAGAATTTTTGGAATTTCAAAAAGCTCAGTCTAAATGAAATTTTGACTCAAATTTGAACCAATTCCTACCCAAAATTACTTTTATAAATTAACATCCATCACACATCTAGTTTAGACACTGATTTATACCCAGATTCTCTATACACATCTTAAAAATAACAACTGCACTTAAAAGCAGTCATTACGAGTCTCATTTTCATAAAGATTTATTTTTAAACATTTTTAAGCACATCAAGTAAAAATTAATTAAAATTTTTTCACTTCAAGTCAAGAGAAAAAAGCATGAGGAACATAAATCGATCAAAGCTCTTTACACCTTCCTATAAAAACGGTGGTATGCAGTTAGGAAAATATTATTTTACGTTTCGTGATGAAAGTTTGTTTACCGGTCTTTTTCCTTTTGATGGAAAATGACTCACAAGCATCTGAATATATCAGATGTAAGGTTGTGTAAACGAACAAAAAAGACTATACATGTGCTGAAGCAGTTTGTGAGTTTCTCGCACGTACAATGTTACGACCGGCAGTTATTTAAATTGTTGTTGTTATGTAAAAAGACTTTATGGCGCCACGCTCGTGAGGGATGACGAGGAAAAGAGAGAACGGCAACACCTGAGACCTACATAAAGTGTTTAGGCTGCTCACATTAGAATTTGAATCGGAATTTCAAATTAGAGGAGAATTTGATTTTTATTTTATCATTTTTTGCTGATGTGCAGCATAAGATGGGATATTTATGTTTAGCACAGAAGTGAATTGAGCGTTTTTAGATTGATTTTGAAGCCTTTCTTTGTTTTGATGAGCTATTTACTTCTTTTACATTGAAATTTTTGTGAATTTTTAACAACTCACGGGAATTAGCTTAAAATCCTTAGAATTTAATGACTTACTGTTGAATTACTAAGATCCAGCGAAAGATCCAGTGCTGAATTTAGAAAATATAAAAAAATCAAGATCCATTTGATAACTTTAAGTTTTTATGAATGTATGTTATTAAACTTCCCAAAAACCAGTCATAACTCACATCAACTCTCAAAAGATCTAGATCCAGCGCAGAAAGTCATCAAAAGCTACAAAAATTCTTAATTAAAAATTCCGCCAAAACTAATGCCATGTACGCAAGCTATCATCTGTTATTTATTACACTTTCTCAGCTTTTAGTAATTCCATTTGCTTGTAAGTTTGCAGACATAAAGTCACCAAAAAATATTTTTAATTCGGCAAGTTGCAATTAATTCGGAATAAATATAGTTTTGAGTGAATTTCCAAGCTACATGCCCGCGAGCTCCTTCCATAAATAAAATGTTTATATTTTCAAGAATATGAAAATTTATCGACTTGAACAGCTATTTACTATTATGCAAACAACCAACGCGTTGCTGGCATGTAAAGAAATAAAAAAAAAACTTTTGTGAACAGCAACAAACATGTTGTGTGCTTAAAAAGGAGTAAAGCATGCATCCATGAACCTATGTAATTTCATTTATTTACATGCCGAACAGCTACACATACATAATACGAACAGAAATTACAACATACTGTACACAAAGTTTTCTCGTGATGTCGCGCGAGCCGTGCTTTCTTATGTTAATATTTCCATTGCCATTTTCATTGATTTCCTTTACCTTTTTCTTCTTTTTTTTTTTCTTTCCATTCGCACTTGACTTGGATTCATGGATGTATAGAGAAGAGAATACAGGAAGTGATTTGCGTCTATAGCTGCATTAGTCTAATGCTTATCAATTTATATTTAATTTTAAGACATTTAAGGATGGACCGCATTAGCGAAGTGATATTTTCAGCTATTTGCGGTATAGTCACAGCTGATTTTGGCAGTGGATTTGTTCATTGGGCAGCTGACACATGGGGATCTATTGAATTACCAATTATTGGAAAGAATTTCCTTCGACCATTCCGAGAACATCATATTGATCCCACAAGCATTACGAGACATGACTGGATTGAGACAAATGGAGATAACTTTATGATTGGCATCCCCATCTTGCTTAAATTAACACTCATCTTTTACAACTCATCAAGCACTGAAATTCAGGCTGAATATCCATTCTGTGCATATCTCTTTCTATGTTCAATCTTCGTGGCTATAACCAATCAAATCCACAAGTGGAGTCACACATATTTCGGTTTACCGGTGTGGGTACAAATTCTACAAAATTATCACATCATTCTGCCTCGAAAGCATCATCGTATTCATCACGTAGCACCACATGAATCATACTTTTGTATCACGACAGGTAAATTTTATGTACATTAAGGATATTTTTGGTGTGATAATTGTGGATTTAGGTGTGCCAATGGAGTCGGTCTTTGAGGACGTTTTGATTTTTGGCGGGAAAATAATTTGAGGTTGTGTATATTCGGGAATTATTGCTCTTCTGTCTAATTATTTTGGGAATGCTGCTTATGATCAGGAGGATCATTTAACATGAATTTAAAGATAACAAATAAATGGTAAAGCTTAGGGGTCGTTCACTTTCTTACTGACCCCCCCCCCCCCCCCCCCCCGAAGATTCGAAAGATTTGCGAAACAATGCTTAAACCCTAAAATGAAGCTTTTGACCTAGATAATTCAGATAAACAATGTGCTAGAACTAAGACTTGAGATTTTAATAAAAGTTCCCAAGGAGACGAAAAATAACATCTAAAAGTGATTATTCATACTTATAAATTGACATAAGACGCTTATGCAGTTCTCATGTAGCTCTAATGCGGTTATAACTGTCCATAGCTAACCAATCTTGTAGTTCGACGTCATCTACTTAACCCAAATGACTTAGCCAATAAAATATTCAAGCAATAAGACAAAGCTCCTTAAATACACAACAGCAGCAAAAAGAAACTGATTCCATTAGCACTCCCAGACATTTAATCATGAAAATAATTTGATAACACAAACTAATTGCCTGATATTTCTATTTTCTGTACAGGCTGGCTTAACTGGCCATTAGAAAAAATTAAGTAAGTGATAATGTAATGATTATTAGATTTTATTTGTGGAAATGACTAATTTATTTTTATGCTAGATTTTGGTCGACACTAGAATCAATTGTGACATTTTTCACTGGATGTAAACCACGCGAAGATGATCTAAAATGGGCAAAAACATCATAAAAATCTTTTATATTCATTTCACAGCGCGCTACACATGGAAAGCAATCAAAATGTAGAATTTTTTTTATTATTTACGCTAAAGAGAATGGATACAATTACCATAATATATATAAGCTTTAAGGTTTTTAAGGCTGTGCAAAAAAAAAACATGAAAACTTTGACAAATTCACGCAAGAAAGAAACTTTTAATAAAATATTTTGATGGCTTTGAAAAGTAATGGATGTATGGATTGAGAATGTAGTTTCCACCCAGCTTTTAATGGAATTTCTTACAGGTGCAGACGAAAGTCATATTAATTAAAAGAAAAGAAAACAAAGATCAGAGGTGAAGCAAGAGGGATGGGGAGATATCACTGACTTGACCCAAGCTGACAAAAGCCCTTACTGCACCCCTTGAGAAAAGTTAATATCAGCACTATATCCAGTATATAATTTTCATAAATTAGTTTTTTTATGTCCAAGCAACATGTTAGAAGTTATAAGTCTCTCACAAATAATTTTCAGCATTTTCTACACCTTAGCAATTTTTCAAGCTTTTACACGTTCCTCAAATACTTTCGTTCATAATTTATCTACATATTTGAGATTAAGGCACGTGGTGGGTTGGTAGGATACTCTTATTGATCGAATACATCGATATTTATATGGCCATTTCCCTCGTGCTCTATGGAATTAGAATATTAACAGCCATCGCATTTCAAAAATGCGTAAAAATATCGTTTCTGCTACTTCCATCCAACATTTACTATCTCAGTAAAATTCCAAGCAAAGTATGTACGAAATTTATTTATGTAATAAAAATTCCATGTAATAAAATGAATAGGAATGAACTGTATAGTGTGTTTTTCCGATTCCAAGTCTGTCTAAAGGACGTGAAAAAAAAAGAATTTCAAAAAAATATCGAGGGCAATAAAAGCAGAAAAAACGCATTTGAAAATTCCTTTCTTATTCTTTTCGTGCTGATAAAGCAGTCCTTTGGGTCGTTGGAACTGTGTCGAAGGAGGTGAATAAAGCGCATTTGCAAGGATTTTTTGAGACTAGCAAGAGACACTTTTCGAATTTAACGGGTTTTTTAAATTTTAAACTTTATTTTTAACATCAACAGCTTAATTTTGAATATTTTTGAAGTTTAACAGAATTTTTTTCAATATTTTGAACTTCAGCCACTCAAAATGACTAGCAATACACACAATATCCTTGAGAATATGCTGTAAAAACTGGCACAATTTACTTGGTGTATTCAAAAAGTGGTGGAAAGAAGCACAATATTAAAAAGGAATCACGCAATGTCTCTTTTCACTTATGCGATTGTACGCTTGTGTGTTTTCCACACAAAATATCAAGTCGAGAGAATTGGAAAGACGACGACGACAACGACTAGGCTTCATAAATCTTTTAAAATGTATATCGCTGCTTCTGTGGGAATTTTTTTCATTTAAAAAAAGGGAAGGCATGTAAAGTGAAATGTTGCGTATAAAACATGTGTCATGTGCTTCGATATGTGATCGATTTTTTATGTATGACAATACTTAACACAAATCCATCAATTATTAAGCATAACATAATAGTTTATTTACAATAAAAGCATTCCTATGTGCCTATTAATGCTCCTTCCTTTCCTCTTGATGATTTAGCATAATTAATCAATAAATTACTATATCGAGGAAATGTTTTTTGACTTAATTCACGTCCGTACGTGAATGTCAACACGTTCCCATTACCTCCTATGAATAAAGGAAATTCTGCTATGCGCTTGATGGATATTGATAATTACATTTTCGTAATTAACAGTTTCTACACATTCATTCAGACCTTATCATGAGTCATTCAATGTTTGTTGAATATTTTTTGAGTAATTGTCATGTCAGATTGATTTGTCTAGTCTCTAATTTATTAAAGTGCCGGCAAATGCGCTCTAATCCCAAAAGACTTGTCCACATTATCGATTACAAGCCACGAGAAGTTAATTTTCATGTTCTGTGTATATTTTGTGATCGGAGGTTTAATGTAAACAGTAAAAATGCTGAAAAAGGCGTTTGCATGTCAAGAAATTGTAGGAAAATAAGGTTCAACAGTTTTCTCCATTTTCCTTTCAAGATTAGCATGTAAATTGCTGCTTTGACTTGTTCAGTGCCTGCACTCTTTTTTTGAGTAATTTTTCTTGACTTAATTATTCATGCAAAGTGTTTTAACAGGAAATTTCAATATCCAAATCGCATATCTTAATCATATTTTGATTCTTTTTGTGTAGATTTATTGTAGACTTAACAGGTTACATGATGTTATTGGATTTTTAAAAAATTAAATATAATTTATTAAGTTCTAAAATGTGATCACTTTAAACAGTTTTAATCAGGTAAATGTAATATTAGGAATATTTTGAAATAACAAATTCATCTAATTAATCAGACCATTACTTTCAATTCTATCTCACAATCTTACTGCCAAGTCTTACCATTCTATTATACTAATTTTAAAAGATGTTGAAAAAAGTAGAATATTTTAAATTTAATAATCATGTAGGATCAAATAATGCTTTCTATATTGCTGGATGAGGTGAAGAAATCGTAACTGTACGAAGTTGATTGGACATTTGCTGTAACTTTTGATTTAAGCGATTGCAATGATCACGGAGGTATTCGATGAGATCACTTTGCTTTTCGAGAAGATCGGTGACTGTAGAATTTAATTTTATTAAGGAATTGGTAAAAGACAAAATGATTCTTAATTACCTTCACTTTGGCTATGTACGAGTCCCAAAGATCCAACAGTAGAACTAGAGGATCCACGCATTGCATCAGGACTGAGCTGCAAGTTATTGAACTTTACAACACGAGCAATGTAGCTTCCATGAACAAAGTAGAAAATTAAACTTTCGGTAACATTAAAAGCTGTTAAATAAAATAACGGAGTATAGACGATGGTTGCAAGACATTTAGCCATAAAATCTTCTCCATAATAATGATGTAAACCAGCTGCGACGGCTAAAATTGTGCTATTCCACAAGTTTACAATTCTCAAAGGAACTGTATGATGTTCTCCCATATCTCTCAAAAAATCATGATAACCATTCAGTCGTAACTGTTTATGATGAGATTTTACAAGATAGTCGAAGATCTGATAAGGAATAGATTGATTTAGCATATTTTTGCTCTGTATGAATCATCTTAATGACCTTGCTACTTACAACAGTGATCACATAAAATCCAGCTCGTAAATATAACATAATAAAATACGCCTCACATCTTTTATAATCAGGCCAAAGTGCTGCTAAAACAATTCCAGTTATAGAAATGGCTGTCGATATTAAAAGGTGAATGCTGTAAAACGGAAGTGACGAAAATTCTTTATCTCAAACGCAATTTATAAATCAAAAACAAAGGTTTTCTAATTTTAGGCTCTATTTTTACCTAAAATGTGGCACTGTGCCTAATTTCTTGGCTCTGGATGTGTTCTCGGCTGATAAAACTGGAATTCGGTCATCCATTGTTCCTCTTTTTACGTTTATTAAAAAAAATAATTAAAGAAATTTAAAATATAAAAGTTCACAAATAATTCCTTCAGAAACTTCCCCCTGCATAACAATAGATAGGGTATTATCAACCTAGAATTTAAATTTTTTGAACTTTTTAAATACGTTAGCTTTATTTTATTCATTGTCTTAAATTTATGAAATCAGCTTCATGTTCAAATCAATTACAGTTCTTGTGTAAAAGTTGTCATCCAGGTCTACAAAATCAGCAACAAATACGTTAACCTTTCCATCTTCACCACTTTTGAATGGTCCTGGAACTTGATTCTCCAAGAATGATCCACACTTATTAAGAACATCTCTGGCACAAGCAGTTTTAAGGGTAAAAGGAAGATGTCCAATAATGTATGCTCCGTCGGGTGTTAAAATCAATTGAGTACACAAAGCTGTGTTTGGGGATCTTGCCTTTATTGTCTCTTTTGAATAATCTACTAGCCTTTCGAGACTTGTTGTGTTGGCCCATGGACAAGGAAAACTGCTGGATTTGAAGAACTTTTCGTTACTATCATCGTCACAATAAATGACAATCAATTGCTTCTTAAGTTTCGATGCTTCAGATAGTGTTAGTGATGGAAAATCAACTCCACTGCTATAAATCATGGTCTCGAATAAGCTGAGTAATGTGTTCTTAAAAACTTCATGATGAGCAGGTCCGAAATTGTAGAAATGTTGACAATTTAGAATAACAAACTCATGTGGATGGTCTATGAGGAAGTTTAATATTTCTATTAAAGGACTTGTCACTTCACAGCTATAGACACCATGAACGTAATAAATGTCGTCATTTTTTGGAGCTAGTCTCAAGTCGAAGCATCTAAGTCAGTGGAAATTAGATAATTGATTAAAGAATTGATATAGAAAGTTCAAATCTTTAAAGTTATCATCTAGATACAGTAGATTACCTTATTCCATTATTCAACTGTTCCTCGAAAGTATACTCTTGAGTTTTAGCCCAATCACAAACTTTATCGGGAAATAATTTATGAATAAGCACTAAGGATTCATCTGCATCAGGTGCAACCTCTGAATGTTTAGTAATTGCGTAAGAACCTAATGAAAATGGTCATTGGTAGTAATTTTAATTTTGAATGTGAGTCAACAACTACCTGAATTGTGAGTTCCAGGAATTGCTAAGTTAATGATTGGAATGATACTTCTAATTGAATCTGGAAGATTCTTCATCCAGTTTTCTAAGTCGTTAGAGAAGTCATTTTCATTCTTAGCTAAATAATTCATGGTTGGAATCAAAGATGATCATCTTATAACAAAACTGGATATTACTCACGTTTATGATTTCCTTCTTGATTTGGACTCACTTGTCTATAAACATTCATTCATTTAAAGATTTATATACTTTTGAACATTATTATATAATTCTTACGTATTCTGTAAGAGACTGCTTAATAAGCTATTGATATCCATAATTCTTCAACTTGTTAAGAGACTTTTAGCAACAAAGTTTGAACAAATTTGTCCAATACAATTATTGAAAAATAACAAAAACAGTTAAAGTTCTTTATCTTTTTTTATTGTTATTAAATACAAACAAAGCTTTTATGGAAGTTATAACTTAATGTTATAATAAACTGGATTTCTTAAATGTCAAAATACGTTGAGATTACAAGAAACTTTACTTTTAAAATATATTAAAATCTTCAAATACTGGATTTCCCATCAAAATTTAAGGACAGAAGCTTCATATTCAAATCCACGACCGTTCTGGTAAAAAAATTATTATCTTGTTCCACAAAGTCAGCGATAATCACATTTATTTTGGAAGCTTCGCCTCTTACAAATGGACCAGGAGTTTGTGATTTCAAATATGGACCCAAATCTTTCATCACATGCCTTGAGCATGTGTTTTTTAATGACAAATGGAACCTAGCTGCAATATAATTGCCATCGGGCGTCAGAATTAGTTGGGTACAATAAGCAGTGTCTGGATTTCTTGATTTAATTTTATTATCCAAAAAGTCTTTTAGCTTTTCTGTGCTAGTGACATTGGCCCAAGGATTAGGAAAGTATCCAGACTTGAAGAAAGTTTCACTACAGTTGGTATTATTACGATAAATTACAACCACCTGCTTCTGTAGATCATCAGCTTTAGATAGTGTTAAGTACGGCAAATCAATCGGACTGCTAAACATTACGTCACCAAATAAACTCAAAAGCATGGCCTTGAACTTTTCATGATGATGAAGTTCAAATTTATAAAACTTCTGGCAATCTAAAAATACAAATTCATTCGGATGGCTCTTAAGAAATTCCGATATCTCTTTCAATGGATTTGTGACTTCAGTGCTGTAGACTCCATGCACGAAATAAATGTCATCACCTTTTGGAGCAAGTCTTAGATCAAAATATCTACAGAATGGATTAGAATATGAAGGATTAATTTGACTAAGATTGATAAATCTCATACCTGATTCCATTGACGAGCTGTTGCTTGAAATTATACTCTTGGGTTTTAGCCCAGCAGCATATTCTCTTCGGAAAAGCTTTATGCAAACCTGGTGTACTTCCATCTGCATCTGGCGCAATCGCAGACATCGAGTTTATGGCATAGGAACCTAAAGTCAAACATTAACGAGTTATGATTTCGGAACTAGATTGATTTTGTTACCTGAATTATGAGTTCCAGGAATTGCCAAATTAATGATTGGAACATTATCTCGAATTGAATCTGGAAGTTTTTTCATCCAATTTTCCAAGTCATAAGAAAAATCATCAACACTTCTTGCTGTGGATGTAAATACACAATGTGATACACATGAATAAGATATAAATAAACTTAATGACGTTGTTCATCATTTCTGTGTCCGAAATTTTAGATATCACTTACGTTTATGATTTTTTGCACAAGTCGCTTCACTTATGCCTTCAATTACAGAACTTATAGGCGAGACAATCCTGTAAGTATGTTAAATTTGAGAACTCAAGATATCAAAATTACAAAACTTAATACTAACACATGATCAACGATACCAGTGAGTAAATTCAATGGATTCATTCTTAATTAACACAAAAAAAATATCCGACTGAACTGAAAGAAAGAAAAATTAGCACTGCTGCTTATTTTTGTTTGTTTTTTTTGTCTGCTATTAATTTTTATTGAATAAAAGCGAGATCTTAAAGTGTACAGAACAGAATGTTATATTCAACCGGTTAATGAATCATCACAATAAATTGCTGCATAGATTGATACTTAAAGTAATTTAATTGATTTATGGATTAAGAAGCTTCATATTGAGATCAATGATTGCTTTTGGGAAATAATTATCTTCCAGGTCAACAAAGTCTGCAATAAAGACATTTGATCTTCTAGCTTCATAGTCTTTGAATGGACCTGGTTTTCGAGATTCGATGTATTCTTTACAATTGTCAACAACTTCTTCAGCACATTTGATCTTCAAAGACGAGTAGATTCTTGCAATAATGAATCGATAAGTTGGTGTTAAAAGAAGCTGCGTCACGTGTCCTTGATATGGTGTTCTAGACATAATGCTGATGTCCAACGATCTTTCCATTTTCTTTACATCTGTAACGTTGGGCCATGGAGTTATGAAATGATCAGTTGTGAAGAATGACTTGTTAATATTATCATTCCGATAAATGACAACCAATTGCTTGTGAAGGTTCAATGCCTTGTTAAGTGTCAGATCAGGAAATTCTTCTTCATAAAGAATTCTTTCGTAGATTCTAGTTCCAAAAAGTTGAATGAGAAGTTCTGAAAATTTCTGATGATGATAAGCTTCAAAATCATAGAAATGCTGACAGTCAAAAATCACAAATTCTTTTGGATGATCTTTAAGAAAATCTCGTATTTCCTCGAATGGACGAGTTACTTCATCGCAATAGACTCCATGAACAAAATAAAACTTGTCATCATCAATGCGAGTAGAGATTCGCAAGTCAAAATATCTAGAGAAATTAAGATTCTAGATTTAATAAGATTAAGAAATATTAATATCAATAATGCTCACCTTATTCCATTCTGAAGTTGTTCCTTAAATGTATATTTCTGAGTCTTCACCCATCTATGAAGAACCCAAGGACTAAATGCATATATTTGGCGAATAAAGTCAGCTGCATCAGGTGCAAGTTTTGAATCAGCATTAATTGAGTAAGTTCCAGAATCATGAGTTCCAGGAATAGCTAAATTTATGATTGGAATGCTTTCTCTTATCGAATTTGGTAGATTTCCCATCCAGTTAATCAAATCATCTGAATATCCACTGCTTTTCACTGTTAATGAAATTGAAAGTTTATAACATAAAACAAGCTTTTGATTAAGAGCTTTTAAAGCTCTGGTTGTGATACAAAATTGTTTATTGCTTTCCTTTTATTCACAAGTTGTTACTTAAACAAATGAGATACCTACTTTTAATCTGATTATTCCGTTGTTGAAACATAGTCAAAGCCATATTAGACATTCTGTTTAAGATGGTTGTGATGTAGTTGATGCTTTAATTAAGGAATAAAACGGTTATTTTAATGTTTATTCAAAAAATAGAAATTATTATCCTTTACCCATGATCCACAGTTGGATGGTTTCGAATTATTGATATAACTTGATTAGTTGAATCCATTTTATTATCTGTAGAGATAAAAATTCAATTTCTATGACTAAAATGAAATGATATTCAGCACATAACATAGCTTTGTTTACATTAAATGTATACCTAGCCCACAAATGACAATGCCATAGATGTCAAATAAGTAAGAACATACAATTTTCAAGTTCCATTTCTTTATTAAGATGTAAAATAAAATTAATCACAAAATAAAAGCAGGTAACATGTAAAATCAAAAATAATAAGGTACAAAAATGACTACAATTATGGAAGGAGTTTCATGTTAAGATCAACAACTGTCTTTGGGAAATAATTGTCATATAAATCAACAAAATCTGCGAGAAACACATTCGATCTTCAAAGTCTTTGAAAGGACCAGGTTTTTGTGACTCCAAATAAGCTTTGCATTCCTTGTCAACCTGCTTCGCACATTTACTTCTTAGAGATGAATAGAATCTTCGAATGATAAAGGAACTGGTTGGTGTTAGCACTAATTGAGTGCAATATCCTTGGTACGGTGACCTTAACATGATTCTATGGTCTAGAAACTCTTCCAATTTTCTTATGTCTGTAACGTTTGGCCATGGATTTTGGAAATGATAAGACTGAAAGAATGTCTTATCAATGTTTTGGTTCCGATAAATGATAAACAGCTGTTTATGAAGGTTCAATGCCTTTGATAACGTTAAGTACGGGAAGTCTTGTTCATGGATGAATCTCTCGTAAATTCTTGTGTTAAATAATTTCAATAGGACCTGAAAAAACTTTTGGTGATGATGAGGTTCAAAATTGTAAAAGTGTTGACAGTCCAAAATGACAAATTCTTGTGGATGATCAATTAAAAAATTCAACATTTCTTCTAATGGATACATAACTTCGTCACAATAGACACCATGTACGAAATAAATCTGATCATCGTCATCGTTTACAGCCAGTCGTAAGTCAAAGTATCTAATAAGGCGCGCAAAAAAAATTCATAACAATAAGCATGATTGTGTGACTGAATTACGCAGTTTAATTTACCTTATGCCATTGTAAAGCTGTTCTCTGAATGTATACTTTTGTGTCTTTGCCCATTTACGTACAACCCATGGAATGAATCGATACAATTGACGAACTACATCTTCAGCATCGGGCGCAATCTTTGAATGTCTAGTCACGGCATAAGCACCTAAATTTATAATTTTTTTAATGTCTACTTCTGTAGCTTTAAAAGCTGGTAATAATTACCAGAATCATGCGAACCAGGAATTGCTAGATTAATTATAGGAATCCGGTCTCTAATTTCATTTGGAAGATTTCCCATCCAATTTTCCAAGTCATCGGAAAATTTATAAAAATTAGCTGTAAATAGAATCAAGTATATAACAATTAAGGCTCAATGTCTGAAGATTTTTATTTATTTGAGAAGAGTTCATAGCAGTCAAGGTTCTTATCAGATTCCTTGTATCGCTGATTAGTCAAATATTCAATTTGGTCCTTTAATTGCATGATTTGTCCTTGACATCCGTTAAAATGACCACACAGACTATTCAATTCCTGTTGAAGCTGCTTGATTAATTCTTCCTTTTCAGTCAACGATAATGAAGCTGTTGCGCGGCACTGAGCTAGTTCAAATTCAAGACAATTGATTTGCTCGTGAAGAATTTGTCGGTTCTTTTCAGCTGTGCATTTACTTGTCGTGATAATCTTTGCAGAATCTCTTCGTAAGTCTTCAAGTTCTTGCTTCATGCTGCACAACTTATCCTCAAGACATTCTTTCGTCTTTTTCAGCAAGCAATACTTCTTTTGTTCTTCTTCCATTGAAATCTGTAACTTCTCATACTTTTCAACAATCGAATCATTTGGTTGTTCCTTTAAAGCCTTCAATTCACATTTTGCTTTCCACAACTCATTCGTGATATCCTTGAGATTACTTTCAAGGACAACAATGCGTGACTTTGACTTTTGCAATTCGTTGCGAGATTCTGCATACTTTTCAGGATATGGACACAGCTCATTCAATTTCTCTTGAAACTTCTCCTTAATTCTCTCAATTTCTTCATTGACTTGATACTCAATTGAGTTCTTTGAACATTCGAGCTTTTCAATTCGAAGCTTTTGGGTTTCAACCTTTTCTTGTGCCTTCATAAATTTGTCACGATACAAGTCAATTTGTGTCTGTAGTTCCTTAATCAAAATTCGATAATCTTCAATTTCTGATATCAGTTTTTCCGATTCCTTCTTTAATGCTTCATTCTCAACTTTTTCAAGTTCACTTTCATTGTTTTTAAGGCACTTCTTCAATCGACACGTCATTTCTTTGTGCTCTTTATCTTTTTTGCAGTACTCTTGTAACAGCTGTTCATATTGATCTTGTAGGCACTTGACTTTATCATTTTTGGAATCGTCTTCTGTGCAATTTTGTTGAGAACTGCCTGCTCCATATTCGTTAAGGAATTCTTTGTCTTTTTTGATACAATTAATTTCACTTCGCAGTTCCTTCATATGTGATTCAGTCTTTTGGAGATTAGTTGATAAGTAATTGGCATTTTTAGTGCAGTATTCAAGTCGTTCCTTTAACTTCTCATTCTCGTCATTCACACGCTGTGTCTCTTCCAGTTGACATGCTATCATGGCATTAGCTCTTGACATTTTATCGACTTGATGTTGTAGACATGTCATTCTTCTGTGGAGTTCGCAAATGGAATCATCTCGTTCTAAAACAGTTTCCTGAAGATTAAACCTTTCATCTTCTAATGCCTCATTCTCAGACAATAACAATTCAAGGTCAGCAATTCCAGATACACTTGATATATCCGATGGAGTTTGAGGCGGTTTTGTAAATTGCGTATAGTTCAATGAAATTGGACCCCATTCACAATCGCTATCGTCTTTGGTACGTGCCTGTTCAATCATTGCTATGTCAGTCATTTTCTCCAATTTACAACATTCACAATCTATTTCCTGACGTAATTGATCGATGCACTTTTGAGGAAAGTTGTTGCACATTTTTGCTTCCAGTTCCTGTTGTAGCTTATTTATTTTAAAATTTTGCATTTCAATTTCATATTTGACCTTTTTGTACTTTTTGCACAATTTTGAATTTTGCTTCTTTTCACTTTTATTTCCTTCTGTTTATTATTGTCGATTAATCAACAAATAATTTCTATGAACTTTTCATGCTACTTACCACTGGATCCTTGAACATTCTTTCCCTTGAACTCTGACATTTTCTTAATTCCACAAAATATTACTGATTAGAAAATTTTCAGACTTGTTAATTCAACAAAAAATTTAACACAAATAAAATTCAATGCCTGCGAAGAGATAATTTTTATACACTTTTTTCTCACTCGCTTGAAAATCTCGGAAAATTACGGTAATTATCTCTCGATTCCTATTGTTCTTAATCTAGACACATTAAAATGTGAGAACAGCCGATAGATTTTGTGACTAGCAATAAATCTTATTATGTAATTATGCCATAAAATTGAGTTTCATTAATCTTTGGATATCTCTTTTATGGAAAATTATTCTTTTTGTAAATAAACAAGTTGAATAAGAGGCCGTTCACTTATTACGTTCACAGTTTAGGGGGGAGGGGGGGTTTGAAAAATTGTAACAAAATGTAACATAGGGGGGGGGGGTGCAAGAAGTATGTAACGTTCTACTTTACAACGTTTTTTCCGCCTTTTTAATGATAAAATTATGAACGTTCAGGGAGGTGGAGGGGGGTGAAAAAAGTAGTTTTTTTGTGTAACGTAATAAGTGAACGGCCCCTAAAAGCTTTTTTGAGAGACTGCTGAATGACTGGCTGCTTATTAAGGGGTAAGACTTTATGTTCAGCTGAGCAATGAATGGTTTTAACTATTTGATTGATATATTCTTGATTTGATGATGATTGTAGTTGAAATTGGGTTGAATGATTTTGATTCTGGGTTTGGACTTGATCTTACGTCCTGTGGGTAACTGGGTCTGGATGAAAAGGATACTAAGAGTATCATACCCTTGGATCGATACGATCTCTAATTAGGGTTTAATACAAATTATAGTGTGAGTCTAGAGTAGGTAGTCAAAAACCAGCTTGAGGTTTAATGTTTCGATAATAAGTTACTAAGCTATTAGAAGCTGTTCAATCAAACCGAATTCTATGATTGACATGACACCCACTCCCCCCCCCGTTCAAAGATCACTCTTTGACAACAGTTGGATTGCATTGGATATAAAAATTAGGTGTATCCATATATTCAAACTGCTGAACAATTCAATTCAGCACATGTCCCAAAAGAAATCAAAGTTGAGAATATACAGCAGTAGACAGTATAAGACTAAACAAAACATCGCGAAAATCGATCATTTCTAATGAAAATCTGTCGAAATGAAGAACAATATTAAGTTATTAATATTTCTAGTGTGTTTTACATTAATTAGGGCACAAATTGTAAGTAGTAATAGTGAATTAAATTAGAGATTAGAAGAACTTATCGCAATTTTATGAATGTTGATTTCAATTTCCCAATAAAAAATAACAATCTACGCACAATGTGAGATTAATTAGTGTATTTAATTGATTAAAAGGAAAAAGAAGAGGTTTCTTTAAAGTTTGAGATACAGAATGATCAGCATCAAGTAAGTGGAATGGATGGACTTTTATTATCATGGGAATCAAATATAATCTAACACAAAATATATATATATATCTATAAAATATTCATTGCAAGTGCAAATATGTGCAACAAGGACAGGAATAACAATAAACCTGCTTATGACGCATTAAATCTTTTTTTTTGTTTTTTTTTAAAAAAAAATCATTTTCGAACAAAGAAAGAAAGAAAGATTGATTTTTTTTATGTAAATGTAAGAAGCAAATACATGTAGCAGAATTGAGGATTCTGTCATACTTTACTTGATTCATTATCTGCTCGCTCACGCTTGACTTTTTCATTTTTATTCATTGAATGGATTTGAACTTAAATATGAGATTGTTTACTAACTTTATGAATGGGCTTGTGTATATACATAGGGATTGATAAGGCTCTCAATTTACTGTGAAATGGAATGAGAATTATCAATTATTTTATTTTATTGATTTATTAAATGAAATTAACACTTTATGGCTAATTTGTGTATATATAAATATTGTTTTTGATAATCTTATATTGGGCTTTATAACTGCTTGTCTGGATCTTTCTATAATCCAGTGTTCTGGATGTTAGGCTTGAGTACAATCGAATGAGTTCTGATTCCTCAAGTCTATGACACTAATCATGGATATACTAAAGGGCTATAACAAATCTACAACAACAACAAAAAAATCTAATAGAATCCGTAAATTAAATTAAAGGAATCAGACGAGCAGTTTGTTGCTGTTCATGTCAATCAAATGGGAGTCGACATGCTTAATCCCAATGAGACGTTTGCTGAAGAAATCGTACAGCCGTTCATACCAAACCATTTTACGTTCCAATATGCCTTAAACCTCACGAGGGAAATTGTAAATGGATTTAAGTACGAAATCATCTTTGTCATGAAGAATGAGCATGACGAGGATATTTATTGTGAAATGGACGTGCTAGAAAAACCGTGGCTGACAAAAGATAATAAAAAGTATCGAAAAATGGTTTACAATAACTGCTCATTAGTCAATTCTGTGGACGATGAGGAACGTACGAAGTTTGAATATGATATTAATCCAATTTATGTGAATCAGCGATCGGAAATGAGCAGTGATGAGATTCGTCTTATGGAAGATGAAATTATTACAGAAAAGTCCCAAGAAGATGAAACAGTAGTAACAGAACAGACAACGACAATAGTTTTAGAAGACGCAACATTATCAGCATTAGATCCATCATCCAAAAATATCCTCGATAACTTCTTTAACATGAATCATTATTTCCCACATACCACAGCATCAACCACAACGACAGCAAGCTCATTAGATAACATAGACATGAAAATTATCGATGAGATGCTGGAAAGTCGCAAAATTGAAGACTCACAAGCACAGCAAACACATGAATCATCTACAAATATTAATATAGAGACAACAACTCAACTTGATGCTGAAGCTTTACTTAACGAAAGAAGAAGGAACAGTGAAGCATTAAAAGAACTAGAAGTTGAGATTAAAAAGACCTTTAGTGAACTCTTCCAAACAGATCCTGAATTCCAAACAAACATTATTGCACTTATAAATCGTAAAGATGACTCAAACGTACAAGTCAATTATAATTACGTAGTTAATATCTTAGCGAATAAGCTTAAAGATAAAATTGAAGCTTACAATGAACGACGTAATAATGAATCACTAGCTAATCGACGCAAGAGAGCGATTGATTCCCATGAAAATTCTAATTCCAATACAGGAAGTTACTTTCGACCTCAGGTAAATTAGAACTAATTAAGAACCGTCCATAAAATTGCGATAATTTTTTTTACTTGAAACTTGCTAAATTTACATTTATGCCGGCTTTCCTTTTATACGTATGATGCTTAGTTTGTTGACATTCATTCGGCACAGATTGTTTATTTATAGCTTTTAAGAAAATGAATGCGATGCAGGTTTTAAAAGACTCGTTTTTGGAGAGTTCAGGACTATTGCTTATTAAAAAATGCACAGTCAGGAACTTTTGAATGCTTCAATCCAATCAAAATCAAAATCTTACTTGCAAATTGAGTGATATCGGTCATCGAGCATTACTAAGTGTCAAAAATGTCAATTATCTCTTTTCAATCAATGATTAATTTGTAGAATTAAAATATTATTGACTAGATTAATTTTCAAAACTTTGTCACAGTTCCTTATCAATTCAAGCTTCATTTCCAAAGAATTATTTTGAAATTTACTGTCATTTAATTCTATTAAGCATTGTCGTGTGAAGATGAGCCACATAAATTCTAAAATAATCTCAAATTAAACATTTTTGTAAGCACATGGCATTCTCATATTTTATAGGGATTGCCAGGAGGAATCAGTCCAATCAGCGTTGATGACGAAGAAGTTAAGCTTTTTGTAAAGGAAGCTGTTGATGAAGTTAATGTTAAGGAAGAGCCTGATTATGTGTAAGTTGTGGATAGTCATATCCAGGATATCTAAATACAAATCTAATGTAAACCTCAATGTCCCTAAAGCATTAAGAAAATCATCTCAGCATCCAGCCAAATCGTTCAAGGTATCCGATACAGAATCAAAGTTTTGATCGAATACGGTGGTGAAGATGTGACTTGCGATTTGGATATTTGGGAGCAATCGTGGATTGTTGATGGACGTGAAGTAAAAATTATTTGTGATAACATGAAGCTCTACAAATTCAACCAAAATCCAGTTTATCAACGACAAAAGTCTCGAAACCGTCGACAAATTCCTGGTGCACCAAGTTCAATTGACTCTGATGACGATCAAGTTGACTTATTTTTGAGAGAAGCTGTTGATGAAGTCAATGGACAGGAAGATCCTGATTATTCGTAAGTTTATCATTTAGTTCCATACAATTCCAAGACATTAAAACTAATTATTTTTCAGAATCGTTCGAGTGATATCAGCAACTTCTCAAGTTGTGGCAGGCTTAAAGTACAAGATCAAGGCAGAACTACTTGTCGGTGAAAGTAATGTCATCTGTGATTTTGAAGTTTGGGAACGAGCATGGATCAAAGATGGTCGTCAAGTAAAAATAGACTGTGATAATCAAAAGCTTTACAGCTTCAAGCAAAACCCAGTAAGTCAGCGTGGACGGAAGACAATTGTTGGAGGTCCTTCGGAAGTATCATCAGACGATGAAGATGCAATTAAGCTATTAAATGAACACATCACACGATTAGATTCAGGATCAGATTCGCCATTGGAAGTTGTAAGAATTGATAAAGTTTCTAAGCAGGTTGTAGCTGGCATTAAATACAACATTAAGGGTGTATTCAAAGCTGGTAGTGATGAAAAGACTTGCTCAGTAAGCATCTGGCATAGAGCATGGATCAAAACAGACGATGGAACTCAAATTGAAGCAAATTGCGAAGATGGTGCTAAATTAAAGCAAAAATCCAGAAGCAAGCGATCAGCTCATCATCATCATAATCACAGACCATTGCATGACCATACTGATCATCACGAAAGGCATCATCACGCCTCAACAACCGAACAAGTTAATGAAGTTAAGGCTGAATACTTATTTGAAGAATTCACTAAAAAGTACAATAGACGTTATGGAAATGACCTTGAGCATAAACAAAGAATGAGAATTTTTAAGAAGAATTTGCATAAAATTGAAATGCTTAACAAGCATGAACAAGGTACTGCAAAGTACGGCATTACTGAATTCACTGACATGACTGAAAAGGAGTATCTGAGAAAAACTGGACTTCTTGGCAAGCGTCGTCATGATAATGATTTGAACAATCCAATGGCTAACATTCCAGACGTAGAGCTTCCAACTGAATTTGACTGGAGAGACAAATCTGCAATTACTGCTGTTAAGAATCAAGGAAATTGTGGAAGCTGCTGGAGCTTCTCAGTCACTGGCAACATTGAAGGACTTCATGCCATCAAAACTGGCAAATTGGAAGCTTATTCAGAACAAGAATTGCTCGATTGTGATACAACGGGTAAATATTTCAATTTATTTTGATATTTCATGTGAGGAATACTGATTAGCACATTATGTGTCATTGGGTCTTTTATATTCAAAACTGTGACTGATCGCTTTTATGAGTCAGTCTAGATGATTTAGATATGTGATTTAAATTATATTACTTTTGTCAAATTGCAGATAATGCTTGTAATGGTGAGTAATCGACATGATGTGTATTTACGGGATGTTATAATTCAAACTGCAACGGTCAAAATATTTTGAATATTTCTTTCAAAATAATTATTCAAATTTTTGAATATCGTTATTTTTTGAATGTTGAAAATCGGTTAATAACATATTAAATTCAATACAGGTGGCTACATGGATGACGCATTCAAGGCAATTGAAAAGATTGGTGGATTAGAATTAGAAGATGAATATCCATACCAAGCTAAGAAACAAAAGAAATGCTTATTCAACCAGACAATGAGTCATGTTCAAGTTAAAGGAGTCGTTGGTAAGAACTTGAATAATTTATTGGATAGTTCAAAGTACTGACATCCTTAAAAATTAAAATTCCAGATCTTCCAAAAGACGAAGTTGCCATGCAGAAGTTCTTAGTCTCAACAGGTCCAATTTCAATTGGAATTAACGCAAATGCTATGCAGTTCTATCGCGGTGGTGTTTCTCATCCATGGAAAGTCTTGTGCAGAAAATCAAACTTGGATCATGGAGTTTTGATTGTTGGATATGGAATCAAGGAATATCCAATGTTCAACAAGACTTTGCCTTATTGGTAAGTCACAGAATTTTAATTTATATCCAATAAAGTCTTTAATAAAATTTATTTACAGGACAATCAAGAACTCATGGGGACCAAAATGGGGAGAGCAAGGATATTATCGAGTCTACCGAGGTGATAATACTTGTGGTGTTAGTGAAATGGCCAGTTCAGCTGTGCTCGAATAAATCCAGTTGAGATGTTGTATAAATTACTCGTAGTTGATGATTTAGTGTGACATTTAGGATTGAAAAGACAACGACAATAAGACAACTTAAATTGTTATAAGATTAGCATGTGATGAAGGAAGGAACAAACTTTTCCTTTTTGTTTTTAAAATTACTCGAACAAAATAATTCTCTCTGTAATGTGAATGAAATTACTTAAAAATAATCGTAAGGATTGATAGTCTTTGGATGGATTCATTGGTTAAAGGTTTAAATCTGATGAATTAATTTTAAATCCGATGGATTTAAAATCTAAATCAACTCAATAGCAATTTAATGAATGAATTTAATCCAATTCAACATAAATCAATCCACAGATCTAATTCTTATATCCTATATCTGAACAAAACTCTATTTTTGGATTTATATTTTTCCTGAATTTTTAAAATTGGATTAAAAAAATAAAATCTTCATTTACAAACTTTACTTTTAAAGGAACTGGATTTTTATTTTCGGACGAGGGCAACAAACTCTGGCTAAGAGTAAATTAGTCGTGAATGAGCGTAAGAGAAATGATTATGTTTCTAGGCAGAAGATGTGTCAATTTACACACAAATCTCACGTTATGCTTATTTAGGAATATGCAAATTGATAATATGCCGTCGAACTTTACATTTTCAGCTACTCATTCTCGAAAATACATCTCTGCTTATCAGCTGCGAATTTTTTTTCGGCTTTTTGAACTTGAGTGTCTTTAGTGTGTTGATTTTGGAAAGAGAACGTGATCATCTTTAGTCCAAAAATTTCTACATCAGTCGCTCTTGATCACTGCAAGGATTCAGTTCGTTCCTCAAAAGCACAAAGATGAAGTTTATAATTTGCATATTTATTGCTGCTTTATCAGCTGTCGCACAATGTGGAGTAAGTTTTGATATTAAAGATTTATAGACTGTATTAAATATTCTATGTAGATCCACAGAATCCCATACTTCCTTGATGCCGAGCAGAACGAGATAATGACAGATGAGACAGAGGAAGTACACGTACCGTTAAGAAAAGACACAAAAATAGTCGGAGCACCACGCTTAATTAACACAGACGACAGTTATGTCAACAGAATTCTCAATCAGCATCTAGGAAGACTTATTACTGGTGACAGCAATAAAATCGCAATTGATAGAATCGAGGAAATTACTCAACAAGTTGTGGCTGGTTCACTTTATAGAGTCAAAGGACATTACATTATTGAAGGTCAGAAGAAAGATTGCGTAATGACTGTCCTTGTTCAACCTTGGATAACTGAAGAATCTGTGATTATATCCGGTCAATGTGATGATGGATCGTGCTACGTTACAGAAACCTACACATGCTCACCTGATTCACTTTATTCAACTTTTATGAAACGTGAGAAGCGATTGATGTTATTTTCACAGCTATAAGAAGGTCTAGGTGACATTTGACTTGCAAAATAGTTTCATTGGCAACAGATTATAATTTAAAAGTCTGATAAATTCGGGGATCTGCGACCTCTGTTTTTTATTTTTATTATTTTGTTAAACTTAGCTTTAAGTGTGATTCATAGCTGTTGGAAATTTTGTGCTACAAATTCGGATGTAAACATGTCATTTAATAAAAGTTTTTTTACATGATAAAATTACAGGCTGTGATGATATTTTAGCTTATAATCTAGATTATGCTTGTATTGAGGCTATTGCTGTTATTTTGTCTGTTGTACCATTTGACATTGTTACTACCTAATACTCATGTTACAAAGAAGCATAGCTCATAACTACAATATTAAGAAAATCAAACTAAAATGCGCTTCTATGCCTCACAATGGCATTTCCTTCTTGCTACCCACTATCGCCCTCAACATTAACCAATATTGGATAGAACTTTTCAGTAAATTTCAGACAGTCAATACATAAAGTCATCTTAAAGCATGCAGAAGACAATTTTATTCCTCATCCTTTTTACATTCACAGCGGATGCGTACTCGAAAGTGGGTGGAATCGAAGAAATTGACGTAAATGATCAGAAAGTTCTAGAACTTCTCAAACATAGTTTATTACAATTGGAAATGGGAACTGATGGAAATTTGGAAGTTGTGGAAGTACAAAAAATCACCAGACAAGTCGTTTCTGGCGTTAGATATACAGTTGTTGGCACCTTTAAGACAACGAATGGAATTGAAGAGACTTGTACAGTGACAATATTTTTACAACCAAGACGTTCTGCAGATAACATGACTGAAGCTGCATGCGAATCAAATGCATATCAGACGAAATATTACAGTAATTAATGTTGGCAATTCCAGTATCAGTAATCTTAATAATTAAGAGCAGCGTGTTTGTGTCAAACTTTTATCAAAATGTAATGAAAAGTTTCAATTTGAATACAATTTAATTTATTTTCTTTTATTCACCTTCATTTATTTTAACTGCGTATTATCTCAAAACATGAGGACATACTCAGCTAAACTTCCCAAAAAAAATCTACAGAGTTTTATTTTTATTATTTTGCATGAAAAGAAATGTTTTGTGGATCTTTTCAGGGTCTGTAAATTGATTGATTCATGGACGCAAGAGTTTTAAGGTAGATACAAGATTATACAATTTAAGATACAACAAATTTAAGGCTGAATTGATGGGTTAGGTTATGGTTGACCATCAAAACTTGAAACTCTTTTTAATTCTAAGAGTCAAAAGGATTGAAAATTGAATTCATGACTTTAAACTTAGGGAAATTAGCTTGACGTTTTACCAAACTAGTAACTACAGAATAAAAGCTGAATAAGTTATTCAAAAAAACCAGATGTGCTACCAGAAATAGAATGTAGCCCATTTGTGAGCCAAATTTATTCTATTCTGCTTCAGTGATCGGCATTAACGGTAAACCTGAGAAACACGTCGATCGAAAAAATAAACTTGACACAGTAAATCGTCAATATCAACAGCCTTATTCACGTTAAAATCCACAAAACATCTTCTTTAATCAACTATATTATTTTGTTAAGTTCTTTCTTGTAAAATGCAATTTCTTATTAAAAAATCTTCATTTTAATTTATATTTAGTTGAATTAAGGATATAAGTTCAGAGGGAAACAGTTGTTTTATTTTTGTGTTTTTATAAAATTGCAAAAAAGTCTTTAATGAGTGAATAAATATTTTTGGAACTTTGAGTAGAACTTGATTTGGTTGGAAATTGAGATTGATTATTAAGGTTGACATAAAATTTCGACTCATCAAACGATGAATTTTAGATAAATGCTCATGTCTGCTTTGCCCAAGTTTGTGTCAAAGAAATATTTCAATAACACTAGTTTGCGCTTAAACTTACAAAATTTTGAGCAGGAGTTTATTACATTTTGAGTTTTATTAGCAATGTGGTAGCTGTTTTACTAATTTGTTGATGACTTTCCACTGATCTGTGACTGGTTACAGATCGAAAAAACTTTTTGTGTAATATAACATCAATTTTCCATGCCAAATCTAGTTCAACCCATAATAACTTTTCAATTGTAAAAAAATTAATTTAATTCATTCAAAAAATGGGGATATTTGGGGATGAAAAGGAAATGGAGTGAGTGAGAGAGAAAATAAATTCACTTTTTAACAAAATAATCAACAAGATTTATCATTTAGCTTAAAAATTCAAAAGGCTTCAATGTGAAATGCAATTACTTCTCATTTCATGCAGTTCATACATCAAAGATAGTCTTACACTATAAAAAGTTATAGATGTGCTTCATTTTTTTTTTTCATCATATTTTCAAATAGAAAAGAACTTATTTACATACTTTATGCACATGTGAGGGTTTTCATTATTTAGGTTGCATCATATGAGAATGTGATAAACAAAGTAAGGTATGAAAAACAAAGTCGGAAGAGAAATACAGCTGTGCAGCTATAATAAGACAAGTAAAAAACGTCAGTAAATTAAAATAAAAAGGAATTGCTCCTTTTTTATGAGATCCACGCATTAATTAACGTTAGAATTGGGGAAAAAGTAAGTGTACGTATGAAAAAATTACTGGGTTTCTGTAATTTACTTCCTTCTCATACATAAAAATGGCATCTATTGTTTGAAACTCTTTCTTTCTTCCAGGAAATTGAGAAATTAAGGAATAATGATAAATTAATAATGTGATGATGGATATTATTTACATAAACTTAAATGATAACGTTTCACACACGAAGCCAACAATTCTATTTCTTTTTCCTTGCTTTCTTTCTGTTGCCGCCTTTTCCAGAACGCCTGCGTTTCACTGATTTTGGCGATCGCTCATTTGCCGTTGTGCCATTTGTGGTTGAACTATTTGTTGTGCCATTTGCTCCTTTCTTCATTGGCAATTTTAATTTATTTAACCGAAGTGCTCCTAGCTTTCCTTTAGCCCGCAAATGCTGTTGAACTAATTCACCTAAGGCACCTTCTTGCGCGAGCATTGTTAAGAATGTTGTGATGAACTCATCGTAGTTGTGTGTCCGTCTGCAATCGTCAACCTGAAATTTACAAAATGCAACGGTTTTCTAGAATTTCAAATGAATTGAACAAAAATGAACCGGAATCACTGAACGATTTTCTGTTCAGAAGTCAAGCTAATAAAGTTAATCTAATCGTACCTTATACTTGTGTCTCTTGTCGTTCTCATCGTCAAGATGCTGCTGAGTTATGGATATTTCATTCTCTAGATTCGCCAGTAATGTACACAAATAGCTCTGGGAAAATGCTGTAGATTCAAAATCATTTTGTTGGGACGGTGATGTAGATAAATTGCCACTAGATGATGTCGATGATGCTGACGAGGCTGGCTGATGAGTATCATTCGAGACAATTGCATTACAATTTATATAATTCTGCTCCTCATTTTGATTATTTATCGCATGCGATTCTATGTTACTTCCATTGCACTCTCCACCAACTGCTGAATCGACCGATGATGGACCGGTCAATGACAGATCCGTGGCGAGATCACCAGTTGAATTTAAGGGATTATCACATGTTATCGATGCTATTACTGAAGATGTAGCTGTTGTAAGATACGATGATGAATTTTCTAGTATATTGTCACTTGAATTATTAGTTAATGATGCTAGATTCGCTAGTTCCTCACTAAAATTATTGGATGATAAATTAAGGTTGGATATTGTTGTGGAAGGTGTTGAAGATAATGTTGCTGCCGTCGTGAACTGCGTTTTGATGTCCTAAAATGGAAAATACAAATTAGCAAAATACTATATGGAGTTTGCGACAAGCTACTTACGTTTTTGGGTTCTACATCATTGTGGTTTTCGTTAGGATTGATATTATTCTCGCTGGGATTATGTGAAGAATGATCTTCTTTCAACATATCTACATTTGTACCATTGACTAATTTTTCTAATGCCTCCTCAACAATCTCCTTATTTCGACGTAAAATTTTCAATTTATGTGAAATACAGATTCGTCGATCGGGCACAACAGCCATTAAATTAAATCTAATATCTTGTTCACCATTTGAAATTTCTATCCGATTCGTAATGACTCGTCGGAATTTGTCTGTCCAGTCCTCGTTTGAATCCCATGTTCCGTGATCCATAGGATAAGGTTTAAGACCGTCAAGTTCAAATAAGTGACCATTGATTGGAACAAAACTTATAAAGTGAAAAGCCTCGATACATGCAACTCGACTACTTGTTGGAATTCCAATTCTGGAACTTGTTGTAACGCCTGCAATTCGTTCATGTCGCCTCCTCGCTTGTGGCATAGCATGAGAATTGTGTGCAAATGCTAGTTCTGGCGTATTACCAATCGCATATCCTTTATTCTCAGGCGTCATATCTTTTGTGTGATTTTTAAGTCGAGTTAATGTTGAGCCCAAATCAATGTTTGAGCAATTGAGTAATATGGATAATAGAGCATGTGTTGCACAACTATTGGGCACAATCTGATGTGCAAAAAATATACTATTAACAATGTTTTCATCCTTTTGATAAATATCTATTGATTCTGCTAGCTTCCGACGAGCTCTTCTCTCTTCAATCCATCGAAAGAGAAATATGAATCCATAGACTGGACCCTCAATTGGCTTCTTTAAGTCATAGATCTCTTCCACTTGTACACCATTCACTCCAAAATCCTCAAGAAGAAGTGTAAATAGTCCTAAAAGCATTAAACATTTTATTTATTATTAATTTCAGTATTTCGAGCTATATAGTCATGTTTCTCACCTGGATCACTTTCCAATTCAAGCCAACCTTCTGTTAAGGAGTTAAGATCAGCAGGCATAGCTTAATTTTATGATTAATATGCAATATTTATGCAAATTTCAATAAATTACTTTACACCTCAAAAACACCATTTTTCTACGTTTCTTTATGCACTTTCATTAATTAAACTTCTTTTTCACTATCCAAAACTGCTTAATACAGGCTCTAAACTGCAGAATTTAATTAATTTAAAATATTCTGCTTTTTCTTGATTTTAATCCCTAGTCGGTGATGTTGTTTTTATGACACAAAAAAAACTACCTTAAATTTCAAATTTTAAAAGAACGTTATGTTATTTTTTGAACTGAAAATGTGAAATTAAGACTTTGAAATACTTACAACAATTTAATTTATTAAAGGTAATCAGGTTAATTACAGGGATAAAAACATATATATCTTTTAATGACACAAATTTGACTTACTATCCATGGAAAAAGTACAGAATGAAAATTGAAAATGTTAAAAGTCGTTAATTTTAAAAGAGCTTAATAAGTTAATTTAAGAGCAATTAAAGTGAAAAACAATTGTTAAAATATTGATTGAGTGCTGAAAAGTAGTATCTTTGAAGATGTTTACAATAAAACTCATCAAATAGCAGCATTTCATTGATTTCAAATTGAGCATATACAAGTCACATTTTCAGTCTGTTTACATTAAAATATCCAAAATTATTTTTAAATTTATTTAATATTTTACACATTTACACATTGACTGGAGCGTTAGTTTTATTCTAGACTAGAAAGAGAGCAGATCAGCAGTAAAATGTCGAAAAATCAGAAGAGATATAAAGGCAAATATGGAGTAAAAAATCCAAATCGTGAATATGCAGAAACTTTTGCTGAACTAGCTATAAAAGACAATACATCTGGTGACGATGATGATAGCAGCAGTGAAGATACTGATAAGGGAGTTGATGGAGTTCCATATTTCCCAATTGCTATGTGGGATTTAAATCATTGTGATCCGAAAAAATGTTCAGGAAGGAAGTTACAAAGGCACGGATTAATAAAAAGTCTCAAACTGGGTCAACAGTTTAAAGGATTAGTTCTTTCACCGATCGGAGTTTTGACTGTAAGTCCATTGGATCGATCAATTGTTGAATCTGCTGGTGTTGCAGTCATTGACTGTAGCTGGGCTAGAATCGAAGAAACCCCATTTAGTAAGATGAAGAGCCCATTCCCTCGTCTATTGCCATTCCTTGTAGCTGCAAATCCAGTTAATTATGGAAAATCATGTAAACTTACATGCGTAGAAGCAATTGCTGCCGTTCTACACATTTGTGGATTTCCAAAGGAAGCAAAATACTATCTGTCCAAATTCAGCTGGGGACATTCTTTCCTTAAGCTTAATGAAGAGTTACTGGATCTTTATTCAAAATGTGATTCGAGCCAGGATGTTCTGGATGTACAGAAGAAATATTTAGAGGAATCTGATGAGAAACGCAAGGAAGCACGCGACAATATGTGGCCAAGTTCTAGTGACAGTTCAGATGATGAATATGAAGAAGGCGAATCGAATAATGACGAGTCAAAGACTTGAGTTTAAGTTAATAAAAGTTAAATTGAACACACAATTGAGTTGCCTCTCATACAAATCTTATATTAGCAAATTAATCAAGTTTTTGTGCATTAAAGTTCCTGATGATACACAAATGTTTGCGATGATATTTAATCGAATTTAAAGTTATACGTAGCAATACTGTCTATTTAGCTCAAATGTCTATCAAAAACATGCTTAACGTGTCTATAAGATGGATCTTAAAAGTGCATGTGCTTGTTGAATTTTAATGGTTTTTTAGAATTTGAAAATTTAACGAATTTTTAAGGATTTGAAAGTTAACGGTTTAAGAATTTTTGAAGAAAATATGAAATGAAACAAAATGAAGTGGAATTTACTGAATGACTTTCTGTTCAGAAGTTCACAAACAATGCGATTTCATCTCTTTTCGGTTGGCTGAATTGGATTATAATTTAAATCTCAGGATTAAAAATAAATCCGAGGATGTTGTAGCTTAATCGATTGAGATGAAATGATGCGCATGAAAAGTGCAAATACACAAACTATGGACTTTACTAACAAAGGATAATGCTATTTACTCTATATAAAGTTTCTATTAGGATCTCATATGGCCAAGATTAAAATTTGTTGTAGCTATTAAGCTGACATAACTTTAATTCGTTGATTTAGTGGCTTGTGAATGTATACTAATAGCAAAAATACTGTAGCAATTGATGTCTAGATTCTAGAAGTAATAATTTAGCCAATTTTGAAGTGTTTACAAATACTGGATATTTTACTTTTGATCCGTCCTGTCTTGATGGACGATTTACAGCCCCACCACAAACTCAGGATAAACTTTACTTTTATGTATTTCCATTTATTCATTAATTTTGCAATCATCTCAAAAACATCGTCTTACAATACTTAAAACATTATAATTCCTATGTCTTGAAAGAGTTTCTGGATATGAAAGAGAAAATAAAAGTGATTTCTAGTGTCCGTGGTATGGATAGGAGGGTGTGTAAAAGAAAAACCAACAAATAATAGTAGAAATGGAAATATTCATAATTACTTATTCATCTAAACATTTATCTGGATTTAATCTTCTTTCTACTACCATCATTATTATTATTACTTCATGTTTGAGTTTTATTATTTTATAATCGAAACCTTTGTGTTATTCAAAAATCCAGAACAAACATCTTAAACATTATTGAATCTTAAAAGAACTTTAATTTGAAGTTGTTCTCAATATAATAGTTATTAATTAATAAAAGGATTTTTTTCTTAGAAAGAAATTATCAATCATCTTAATGTTGTACGCAAAATAATTTATTCTTCTCCTTCAGATACTTCCTCTTCGTCTTCCTGTACCTGACTTGATTGTGTACCGTTAAGAGCATCTTCCTCCTTTTTCTTATCAGCATAGCTTACATACGGTTCTAGATCCAATTCGTGAAATTTGCCGTCAATACAAGTCTGTTCAATTCCATCAATGTCTAATAATTCGACTTTTGAGTCGCGTGTTGAGTCTTTGCCTGTATTTGCGACACATTTTACTTTTACTTCGAGGAACTCATCTTTACGACGATCTTCCCAACATGAATAGACCATTGAGGAATTAAAGAATACCGAGTTGCCTGACGATTCCTTATCACGTAAATACTTTTGAAGGAGAGATTGTCCATCACGACGCCACAAACAGATATTTGTATTTGCTCTTAAGCCATTCTTCAAGTCTCCTTTATATGCGTACAGAGAAAACACTCCTTGACGATCGGGGAAGTTTCTGGCATCAGCTTCTGATGATACTTTTTTATTACTAGACTTCTTGCTGCTGCCTCCTTGTGATTTCGTGCTCTGCAAATATATTATTTGATATTAAAAATACGTTTAACGTTTTGTTTATATAATTTAATTTCATTAACTTACAGTCTCCATTTCCTCCTCCTCGCCAATTTCGTCATCGTCATATTCCTCTTCGTCTTCTTCCTCCTCTTCAGACTCAGATTCGTCCTTTCTAGGCTTCTTTTTTTTGGCAGATGTTTTTGTTGCTGTAGCTTTACGTTTTCCTCCTTTCTTCACTTTTTTATCCTGAATTAAATATAATAAAATTAGTTAATAAGCTTGCAAACATGATGATACAGCAAGTATTAATCGTTATGTGCAGTTTTGAAATGCCGCCATTTATACTAATACATGCACAAAGAAAACAATTTTCTCGAAAAAATAATATAGAAAATACGAAGAAAATTTAATTCAACTTACTTCTGGGTCTGGTTTCCAATCGTCTGATCCATCATCAGCATCAAATTCGCCTGCCTCTTCATCGTAATCGGATCCAGTATTTGTGACTAATTCCGTTCTGTTTCTCATGATTTAAACAATTTTTTTTCTTTCAGCTTGTCTCTCACAAAAAAGCAGCAAAGATTCTGTTATATAGAAGCCGAAAATGTCGAGGTTATGAATACAATTTAATATTATCAATTTTATCCTATAATTAACACTTACACTTATGATCTGTTGACTTTATCTGATTCCTGAAATCTTTATTGTCACTTTTGATGTATTTTAATTAATTTATTTTGCGTTTATACTTGTCTATTTGATGATTTAAATAGTTCTGGCAATAGTTTATACTCGAAGAAAAGCAAGTAAAGGCGCAGTTACAAAGTTTCGAAATGTTTACGTTCTGAAACTTACGCACGTAGCAGAGGGCCCTTGATTTGAATAGTCAACCGATTTAACAGAAAAAAAAGCTTTGATTTCGAAACTATTCAAATCGAGGATCCCCAGCACAAACAATAACAAAGATCTAGAAAAGTTTTAATCTTCGTGAAAAATATCATTTTAATTAACTTTAAAGGATTATTAGATATGTTGGAAGCATTAATTAGCAATGGTAAATGTATCTAAAGGAGTTCTAGTTGAATGGTAAGTTAAGTGTGATCAGAAGTAGTCTAATTCTGCTGGAATTCTAAATTCCTTTTCTAATTGTGCATCATCAATTGCTGGAAACTTCCTTTTAAACCAGCTTTTCATGTTGAAGATGTTGTCTGTCCAGCGATTAACTGCAGTAGTCAGTTCCTGTTTTATAATTTATCTTAAGATCCAGTAGAATCAAATATTGAATTATTTCACTTACTTGAACGCCGGTACTCAATTTATTAATATCGTCTACGCTTGTATTATCATCATTATTAAGATAGTCTATCAAATCCCTTTCCTTGACCTTCAATTCTTTAATATTCTTCATAAGCTCCTCACGTCTTGTTTTCTCATAATCGGTAACTTTTTCCTTAAAATGAACATGTACAGCATGTGAATGATGTGTGCTATGTATGAGTTATTTCCTCTGGATCTCATTAAAAAGTTTCTTGAGATTCAGTGAATCAATAAATTACCTTAGCTTCCTCTTGTTTTTTTAAAGTAGCCGTTAAAGCAACTAGTTTGTCATTAAGTTCCTTATTTTTCCATTTGAGTTCATCACTAATCTTCTTGTCTGCCTCAATCTTTTTCTCAGGAAATGACCAATAAAAAAGTGTTGATCCAATTTTGTCACTTTCCAACTTTTCATCTGAGACAAGCGACTCTAAAATTATTTTTACTTCATTTGTGGCGATTCCTTTAGATTTTGACAACTTCTCGAGATCTTTAATGTTATAAAATCCTTCTTCTCCTTCCTCAAATATTCCCATCATTTTTTTGCACTTAGCAGCTTGATCCTTAATATCTGACATCTTTATACTCAACAGTGATCCGGCGATGAAACAATTCCTACAACATTTGGATGAAAAGTTATTATTAGGTCGAAAATTTATTCTACAGGATTTAGACGATAAACATTTATTCATATCTGCTGATATTGTGGAACTGCTACAATCTAAAATTGATGATTTAATGGACAGATTTAGTTTTCCATTGCACGAAAAGGACGCATAAAGTGAAAATTGTGAAGCATAGACTTTGTGAATTAAATATAGACTTAAATAATATAAAAAGGAAGTGAAAATGGCAACACGTGAATCGGGGAGAATTAGGGATGTGGAAAAGAAAAGAGTTCTTGATGACTTGACACGAAGAAGACGAGCTAGAAAGGCTCTTGAGGCACTCGAGCAAGACAATTTTCATGAGGATCCTCATGCTGATTTAGTCATGTCAAAAAAGATCCCAAAGTTTAATAATAGCTTAGATAATCCACGTAAGAAAGGAAGAAAGTCTCGTGGGGCTGATTATTATCGAATTAAATATCGCAAGACATTCCAGCAACTACTCGAGGAAGATCGTCAATTGAACGCAGACGGGCCAAATTATTCAACAGCACAAGCACCAGAAACAAATTATCCACAACGTCATTTTTGTGCTGTTTGCGGATTTCCATCAAGCTACACTTGTGTTTCATGCGGAACAAGATTCTGTTGCCTCAAATGTCAAGCCACACATCAAGACACTCGATGTCTAAAGTTCGTCTCTTAAATAAAGCTCTCATTTTTTTCGGATATCCTTGTAAATTCACTTTAGTTAAGGAAATGTTATTAGAAAGTGTTGATAGGGCTGTACAATAAAGGAAGTAAATGGAATAAGAATGTTTTTGGTTTATTTTAAGAATCTAAGGTGGTTATTGAATTTTCAGGACTTTAAAGAGCTTTTTTGAAAGCTTCAAAATGTCGCGATCTTATAAATTAAAGCTATTGCTCTTGTAAAACTCAATTAAGTTATTAAGATTATTTAATGGATATTTCATCCTTAAAGTGCTCTTTGATTATCTGAATCATCTTTTTAAGTCTTTCAATATATTCCTATAAAAAAGGCTCTTGGTCTTATTGTCACATAATATCGTGTCTTATGTTACATTTAATGGAAAAGAATTGAAGAGAAACTACATAACTTGTTGAATCTTTTGATTTCTTGCCTTGTTATTGTTCAAAATTGATTGAAGGATGAGAAAATTCTATTGAATTGATATCAATAGGTCATCAACAAGTGGTGTGTAATCTAAAATTGTGGTATTTTGATCATCATCCCATTCTTGGATTAATTTTTAATCTTTAGCTTAAAATTTTTGATCTTAAGATTTAAATTTGAATCTAATTCAGCCAACTGAAAACAGATGTAATCGCATCATTTCTGAACTTCTGAACAAAAAGCCGTTCAGTAAATTTGACTTCATTTTGTTTCATTTCATATTTTCTTCAAAAAATTCTAAGACTTTCAAATCCTAATAATTCGTTAAATTTTCTAATTCTTAAAAAACCGTTATTGTCGTAAATCATTCATTTTCGTATCAATTTTAAGATTGATATCATTAGTGAACCTACTCATAGTTGATTTGGGAGAAGTCTAACAATCATTTGATAACATGTAAAGGTATTCAGGATAAATGAATGTAACATAATACAATAGAAAAGGAATTGATATGTGTCAATGGGAATGTTGTAAAACAGTTCCTATGAATGGCAATTTGAACTTTAAGGATTGAGGACTTGACTTTAACTTTTCAACATGCTTGTGTCAGTTCAGGACATGTAAATGCATTTTCTTCCATTTCCTTTGCACAAACAAGCTCTGCAATTCAATTTAAATCTTTAACAAGCTTATTGTACCAAGACTTTCCATTCAAAGCTGTTTAAAGCGTAGAAAATCCAATTTTATAAGCAATCAAACATTCAAAATGCAAAGTATTTGAACTCTATTAGTGAAATAGAAAAGAGAATGTGTGAGAGGAATGAGGAGATTCAAAAAAAAGGGAATCCAATCATGTCAATAGCAATGATTTTTGATTCGTCAAATATTGATTCAAATAATTTATTTTATATATACAGACATATTGAAACAATATGATTGAGTAAGAATTTCAACCAGACAAAGCTTCAATGGAATTTAAAGCACACGAAATTAAGTTTTTTTTTGCAGCACTAAAAAGTGAAACATGAGGAACAAGCATAAACTTAAGCCCCAAGTGTTCCTTATTCATAATAAATTTATATGTGGCACTGAAAAATCTCAAATTCAGCATGACATTTTATCTTAATTAGATTTACTTTACTAATCTTATAAATGAGCACTTTTTGGAGTTTATTATTATTTGTTTTTACGAGTAATTCCCACATGATGCATAAGTAAATGTGATAGGAACATGAACAATTCTGATTTTAATTAATTGAGGGGAATTTTCAAGGTTGTTGTCTGCTTTATTTTTGAATAATTCGTCTTAAATTGATATACTTTAAGGATTTGATGTTAGTAGCTTACTAAGTTGGAGTTTGGAAGCTTAACTTCACAGTTTTAACTGATTTATTTTATTGGAACATGTCTAGAAAGCTCATATTTAGAATCTCACAACTTTAAGGACAGAATTCTTCTTCATTAAGTCGAATCAAGTGACTTTATTATTTCAAAGCTTATTTAAACTGGATTCCTATTATGCATCTCTCTTGTTGTCGTGACTTGCGACTTTTATTTGATTTGTTCAGTTGACATGCAACAAAGAAGCTTTTGAACTTTTCTCGCCATTATTCTTTATCAATCTTTGTAGATTAAATTGTTAAAGTGCATTTTAATTTGACTTTAAGCTGCTAAAATATTGTGAATTAAAGCTTAATTTACTGAAAATTATTTGCTATTAACAACTTAGCTTTAAATTACCCGACAATTAAGATTTTATATTCTACTAATTGGGTCGTGTATCTAGAAGTTTTCTGGTAATTTGTTCAGGAAAGCTCCCCAAGTTTTGCAAAACTAATGATTCGTCGGGGACCATACACAAAAAACCGGTCCTCAAACGAATAGGAACACATCATTTGGCTCAAAACCCTTTCTCTTTATTATTAATATGGACATATAATATTAAACCTGATTAAGCCAGCAACAAAACATTGTTAAAAGCATTTTTTCCAGAACCTCTGATAATATTGTCATCAAGCTTTATCTCGAACTGTTAAACTAAAGATTAATGAGCAGAGATAAGTTGCTTTTATAGCTTTCAGTATAAAATGAACTGCTTATTTGAGAATAACTTTAGTCTGGATGACATTAAACAAGTCAAAGCATCAATAATGAAGTTCTTAATTTTCTTGACAATTTTTATTGCTGTTCTGTATGCTGTTGCTGCTACAGAGATTGACAAGAACCAAGCATCATCATTGGACTCTGTTGATTTAGATCCTAGCAGTGTTAATCATCAAAATGGCGATTTTAATCGTGCAAAACGATATGCTAGTTTGTATTTGAACTTGTAATTGATGCAAATAGTTTGTTTAAGCTTTATTATTAAATTTTACAGGAGGGGGAAGTGGTGGTGGTGGAGGGGGAGGACGTGGATAGGTTAAAATAAAATTTTGGAGCCTCAAATAAATGTTTTCGGACCAAATAAAATGTTTTATGAATTTAGTAATGCCTTCTTTAAAAGATCATGTATTAGCAACTCATTTATACCCAATAAAAGCTTATCAGAAACACAATAAATTTAAATAAATAATCAATTTAATTAAATCATATAAATAAATATTAATGGAAAGTCATAACAATGTGCACTTAGCAGTTATGGATAAAATAGATCAAATTACGTATGTTTATTATTAATAAAGAAAAAGTATTGGATTATGTGGAATGAAAATGTATACAGCCACACACTCAATGACATATTAAACCCTATTTCTTCAGAGTCACAATTGTTGGGAGGAATGAAAGGCAATGGGACAATAAGTATTGGATAACAATTAGTTTTATAGCCATTCTCTCATTTGAAGTTATGCTAGATGGAGATTAAAGTTGTTTAGCTATTCTTCAGCTTGGAATTTAAAGCTGTTATCATTTTTAATGTCTCATTTCTATTTATTGACAGACATAAAAAGTTATTAAGTTTAATTGAGCTGCTGTCGTTTTAATTTTATACTTTTTAATGCAATATTTGCTTAGTGACAATTTTTCTAGCGTAACAGTGAGGATATACACTAGATAGCTGTAGATTTCGATGAAGTCGAAGCTATAATATGACATGCAAAAATGTAAAGCAGAGTTCCAGATGTTTCTTTAGAGAATTCATTAACATTATCTAGAGTCGCATTTAGGGTTGGGCAGAATCGTATTCGAATATATTCGAATATAATGTGCGCATATATTCGAATATATATTCGAATATACATAATTCAAAAAATAACCGTTATTAATCGTGATTTTTTTTTAATAAATGTTTAACAATTAATTAAATAACTTACAACTAAAATATCGACGTATTTGGCTAAAGAAAGTACTCCCATTGCTTTTCCATTAAAATTAGATCTATTTTAGTAATTGTTTAACATGATTTTTTCAATTGAAAAAATTTGATATCAAAGAATATTTGAAGTCGCCTTTTAAAAAATTTTAACGGTCAATAAATATTTGAAAATTTTCCCGCTAAAAGTTGCACTACGAAAACATTAGTTATAGTATAATTAAATAATTTGTTCCAATGAATTTCCATATAGAAAAGGTTTTTCATTTAACGGTCTTTTGTAATTCAAATTTTCTAACAGTCAGTAAGTTTTTGAAAGCTTTACGCCAAAGGATACACAAAAAATCATTAATTATAGCATATTTACCAATTTAATATCTTTAATTCTCATATATGAATTGTTTATCATTTACAAATTACAGGCAAGTTGAAAAATGCTAATCAACAAGTAACGTATTTTTTCATTTTTGAATTTCTAATATTCGAATATATATTCGAATATATTCGAATATTTGCCCAACCCTAGTCGCATTGTCTAGTGTCAATTAACATCAAATAATCACACAATCAGCGCTGACTGGAAGGGAATATAATTAATTACTGACATTCTTTCTGTATTTGATGTATTGGTTTTAAAGCGTGAAAATGTTAAACTTTATTTTGTCAATTACAAAGGGATGTAATACGTTCACTACGTATAATATGTATGTGCTTCTATATGGTTCATTAAATATGACTGTATGTGCTTAATTTCTATCGTGTCACAGAAAAACTTGTTCATTAATATAGTTTCAGTTTTATCATTAATTCACTTTTCACTTCGTCTTCATTACTGTAACGTATAATTAATTGCATGAAACTTATAAGTGTCATGTGTCATCCACGTACATAATTTTATATCCATGATAGTTGGATTATTTTTCATTTCTCATTCATTTATACTCATTAAATGAAAATATTCTTTGCCTTCTACCGCATACTGATTATAAGACAAATATAAATGCATGATTCCACTACGATGAGGAAGTAGAAATAATGAGAGGAAAATATTATGCAAAAGAACGGAAATTGGGAGCCTTTTCATGATGTTCATCCTTTTACTTTTTTACAATTGTAACACAATCGTCATATTGCATTGGAATTCTCAACGGATCACGGTCTAAAAACAATGTATATAGACCGAGAACAACCTCTTCCTGTACAGTCTGTAAATCCTTCCTTCCGTCCTCTGACATCATTCCAAAATACAACAGTTTCTCTTCTATATTACGATATGTTTGTATCTGACGATCCATTAAATCTTGTGGTACTTCAAATCTTAGCGATACACAGCATGTATCTGGTGCTAGCACTCCCATTTTTGGATGTTGTGGTTGAGCTTTTGAATTGTATGTGACTCGTGATCTAACAGTTATTTCGGGAAGCTTCTCATCTTTGTCAACTTTCTCTGTCGTGGATACTTTTTTCCGTCCACACATTTTTATTCCTATTTTTATGCAGTTTCTGTACGTTTATGTGCTTAATAAGTTTATTCTTCTGTCCCGAAGCGATCAGCAGTCGCAGAAAATGAAAATAATTTGATTTTGCAGACAAAATTGTGTTTGGCACTCGTTTATCTGATTGACTTATGAAAAACCACAATTTCTTTACTTTTTAACTCAATTTCAGTTGATGTTAATGGTGACTCTCGCACTCTGTAACCAAAATATAAACACCAAAAAATTGTTTATTTTCTAGCTTAAGGACACAAGAATGATAAGATATGATAAGTATTTTGAGAGGCTACATTCAGCTATTCTATTATTTACGCTTTATGAACTAAAAAGGCACACGATTTTTCTTCTTTAAACACATGATATCCAAAAATAAATAGCAACCTCTTAGACATACAGGAATTTTGTTACTTAAAGTCTTTGGCAATTGAATTAATTTTAGTAAAGATTTAAAGATGAAATCAATGATGTCCAACTTTTGAGGATGGTAGGGGATTTTATATGAATCCCTAAAATTTTAAAGCTTTAGTTTTAATTTGTTGGAATACAAACAATTTCATGAGAATCAAAGCTGAACATTTGGTGACAAATTGAGCTTGAAAGTTTAAAAATTCTATTCTTTATATCCAATAAGCTTGAAATAATGACAATTGACGTCTCCTTAAAGCTCCCATTTAATCATTCTGGCCACAAATTTTTCATAAAGCTTTAACAAATCCATTACAATTGAAGTGATTAATTATTAAATAACAGCACGAAGAAGCTTCTATAATTGTCACATCATCCAAATGATATAAAAGATAATTGCTATATGATTACTACGTACATTCTCTGCTCTACAGAATTAAATTATTCAATTATCATAATCTCCGTCACTTCAATTTTTATCGTGTAAATTATGTAAAAAGTATCTATCCACAACAGATTTCAGTCCAATAAAAATATACAGTTTATGATGAGAACAATAATTAAGCGATCTGACTCTTGCGACGGCTGGAGATAAACTATTATGTTTATGACTGAATCCTGTTGAATTGTTCTTTGTGGATCTTTAGAGAAAACAGTTTTGAGAGAGGATGTGAGCACATGAGACAAGGGTAGTGCTTTAATGATATAACATGACATTTTCTAGACTCTCAAGATAACCTCCCTACCACATCTCTTTGCATCAGTGGCTTTACACGGCTTCCAAACTAGACCAAGCTATTTTAATGCTTAATGGCAGTTCCATAAAGCTTAGGTGACAAAACTTTGAAAGGTGATTGATCTTGCGCAGAAAAAGCTCTCTCATTAATGCATTTCCTCTCATTCTCATTGTTGATGATTCGTTATGCACGCTTTTTATGGCAAAAAGACATAAAAAATTGAGTATTGTATGTTGGGAAGTTTGTCTTTGTTCTTGAATTTATTATATGGACTGAAAGAACAAGAATTGTTTCCTCTGGATGTTGGAAAACATGATTCAATGTCAGCTTTTGGCCACAAACTTTATTGTCACTCGTTCTCGAAATGGAAATTCTATTTTCGTACAATGTGCATTAAAATGAATGTAAAATTCACTTCCGCATGCATTGATGCTATTATGTTTTGCATTTCATTATAGTTGAGTGCTCATAAATATCCTATTTTCTCTACAGCAGTTCTAGCATATTTTTAAATAGCTTTAGAATCACTTCATTACATTCTCGATAACTAAGCATACATTTTGATATCAAACAGCCGCACATTACTATTCTCTTATGCTCATTGCATTCTACCTTACAGGCAAGTTTTTATTTATATAATTTTTTTTTGCACCATAATCAAGGAGATTGAATGAGGCAAGCAATGCAATATGCTATCAACTGTAAAACAAGTGATGAGGGAATTGAATTCAATATTTGATGAACTTGCTGTTTTTATTGTGACATGTGCGCATTATTCATTATTTATTTCAATCACAATTTCAGTCATATTCATAAGTTTTATGAGTGTGTTTGCCTGCTTATGTCGATAATCGCTATTCTTTTAAAAGGATGGAAGATTACACAAGTTATGCATGAGCTTTTCTCTCGAATTCATATTTAATTAAATACATGGCTTTGTTTAATGATGCACAATGCTTTGGATCTGTCATGATTTGCTACAAGCAAGCTGCTTATATAAAAAAGTGGGTCGATTTTTACAGATTCTTAGTAGACGAATTTGACTGGACTATTTTTTTGGAAGATTCTGACGATCTTTAAAAGCGTAAATGCAATTCTTAATCTGCGTGGTATGCATAACAATAGTCTAAGTACAGTCATGTGCAATTTTATTACTTCATTCATGTTGTTTTAGTAGATCCAGTGGCATTTAATGAAAACTTAATCTGATTGTTTATTTCAATCATTAAGCTAATAATACAGCTCAATCATGTAATGACAAGCTTAGAACTATCAGGAGACTTAATATAAAGACAATCTTTAATAAAAACTACGATTGCTTTGACATAAAAGATTAAAGCACGAAAATTGTTATAATTCTGACTTAAATACGCAGTTTAAAGCTTTTTATCCTTAGATTCAGTTAATAAGATATTAAATAAATGAACTTACCCAATTTAACATCCAGCAAACAGCTTCTTATCGATGTATTTAAAATAATGTTGATTTTCCTTCACAAATGTAAACAACATCTTTTAACGAATTTTTAAATTTTGAAAACTTGAGTAGCTTGCTCCTCGATTTCACAGTGTTTGCACAATCTTTGGTTTTACGATAAATTTCCAATATAAAAGCTGTGTCATCGACCAAAAAAGTTTAGAGGAACTGACTCAGTGTACTCGGGCGAAAAGTTCAGTTCACACAGTGTTCCATAATTTTCTGTCTTTAATTATATTAATTATAGTCAACGATGGTTCTTTATACGAAATTATTAACACAGCAGGTAAGTGCTTCATTTAGACATAAAAGGTTCCATAAATTTCCACGTATTTCCTTAGAAAAATAAAGAATTGAAAATTTTCCATTCCGATTATCTAACCATTTCTATTCAGGATTTTTCTAGTCTGCATATTTTTCGCGTTATCTGCAGACCACAGGCTAGAATAACATAATAACAGCTTAGATAATCACTTAATGAAGCATATCAATCAATATGTAAATAAGATAATTTATATCATTAAGAAAATATTGGATCAAGAACTTGTCTCCTTATATTAAGTAACACTTTTCATTCACTAGTGCAGCGTACACGATTAAAATATATATAGTGTGTAGTATGCCACATTCTCATTCTCAATTAACAGATAAAACTTGAACTTGTCGTCGTTTTATTAACGATGTTTTTACGCTATGTATTTTAATACATAGATTCTAATCATCTTCAGTTTATAAATAGATCAATCCTCTTCCTAATTTCGGCAAGCTGCAACAATCAGCTGTTTACAATGTATCTAATAAGTTTGTTGTTATTTTTTGGGTTAGGCGAAACGAGCGGCTTTATATGCCGTTGAATCACAACAAAGATGGTTTCACGCCAGTTGTGCAATGAGCAGCAAAGTTGCTCTATCGAAATTCGACAACAATGTCTATATGCCATACGAGAAACTCGTTCAACGTCTTGAAGTTGTCAAGAAGCGCCTTAATCGTCCACTTACAATGTCTGAAAAGGTCCTTTATTCACATTTGGATGATCCAGCAAATCAAGATATTGAACGTGGTGTCTCATATTTACGTTTAAGACCTGATCGTGTCGCTTGTCAAGATGCAACAGCACAAATGGCTATGATGCAATTCATTTCATCTGGATTAAAACGTGTTGCTGTTCCAACAACAATCCATTGTGATCATTTAATTGAAGCACAAATTGGTGGTGAACAGGATTTAGCTCGTGCAAAGAAACTTAATGAAGAAGTTTATGCTTTCTTGGAAACAGCTAGTGCTAAATACGGTGTAGGATTCTGGAAACCCGGTTCTGGTATCATTCATCAAATTATCTTGGAAAATTATGCTTTCCCTGGACTTTTGATGATTGGAACTGATTCACATACACCAAATGGAGGTGGTCTTGGAGGTTTATGCATTGGTGTTGGTGGTGCTGATGCTGTTGATGTAATGGCTGATATTCCATGGGAATTGAAATGTCCAAATGTCATTGGAGTTCATTTAACTGGAAAGATTAGTGGCTGGACATCACCAAAAGATGTTATCTTAAAGGTTGCTGATATTTTAACAGTTAAGGGAGGTACTGGAGCTATTATTGAATATCATGGAAAGGGTGTTGACTCAATGTCTTGTACTGGAATGGCTACAATCTGTAACATGGGTGCAGAAATTGGTGCAACAACATCAACATTCCCATTCAATGATAGAATGGCAGCTTATTTGAAATCAACTGGTCGTGATTCAATTGCTGCTGAAGCTGCCAAGTTCCAAAAAGCTTTATTACAAGCTGATTCTGGTGCTAAGTATGATCAACTTATTGAAATTAATTTAGATACATTGGAACCACATGTCAATGGACCTTTCACACCCGATTTGGCTCATCCAATTAGCAAACTTGGTGCTAATGCCAAGAAAAATGGATATCCAATTGACATCAAAGTTGGTCTCATTGGTTCATGCACAAATTCATCATATGAAGACATGGGACGTTGTGCCTCAATCGTTAAAGATGCCTTGAAACATGGCGTTAAGTCAAAGATTCCATTCAATGTCACACCCGGCTCTGAACAAGTTCGTGCTACAATTGAACGTGACGGAATTGCACAAACACTCCGTGATTTTGGCGGTACTGTCTTGGCTAATGCTTGTGGTCCATGTATTGGTCAATGGGATCGTAAAGATGTTAAGAAAGGAGATAAGAACACAATTGTTACATCTTATAACCGTAACTTTACTGGACGTAATGATGCCAATCCAGCAACTCATTGCTTCGTTACATCACCCGAAATGGTCACAGCTTTATCACTTGCTGGTCGCTTAGACTTTAATCCATTGACTGACGAATTAACTGGAGCTGATGGAAAGAAATTCAAGTTGAAGGAACCATTTGGTGATGAATTACCCGTTCGTGGATTCGATCCAGGTCAAGATACATACCAAGCACCACCAGCTGTAAGTTTAAAGCACTTTAAAGTTGTCAAAAATTGGAATTAACACTTTATTTTTCTTTATTCTATAAATAAATTAGGATGGAAGCAACGTAAATGTCGTCGTTGATCCAAAATCACAACGTTTACAATTACTTGAACCATTCGACAAATGGGATGGCAAAGATTTGACTGATTTGACTATTTTGATCAAAGTTAAGGGAAAGTGCACAACTGATCACATTTCAGCAGCTGGTCCATGGTTGAAATATCGTGGTCATTTAGATAACATTTCGAATAACATGTTCATTGGTGCCACAAATTCAGAAAATAATGAAATGAATAAGATCAAGAATCAAGTTACTGGCGAATGGGGCGGAGTTCCAGATACAGCACGTCACTACAAATCTAAGGGAATTCGCTGGGTTGCTGTTGGTGATGAGAACTACGGTGAGGGAAGTTCTCGCGAGCATGCAGCTCTTGAACCACGTCATTTGGGTGGTCGTGCAATTATTGTCAAGTCATTCGCTCGTATTCACGAGACTAACTTGAAGAAACAAGGTGTTTTGCCATTGACTTTCGCTAATCCTGCTGACTACGATAAGGTGAGCTACTATTGACTTGATAACAACTCATATTTGTGCTTATATGCATTAATGTGATCTCTTGTTTTTATCGACATTTCCAGATCCAACCAACCGATAAGATTTCAATCCTCGGATTAAAATCATTCGCACCAGGTAAACAATTGACAGCTGAAATTAAGCATGCCGATGGAAAGACAGAGAAAATCCAATTGAATCACAGCTTTAACGATCTTCAAATCACATGGTTCAAGGCCGGTAGTGCATTAAATCGCATGAAGGAGGTTACAAAGTAAATTGTTAATTTCATTTATCGCTCGTCATATTTTTCTTCGTCGTCCACATGTCTAATTGTGTCCTGTGGATGTTAATTTTATAAAGAATAATTTATAAATCGCTCCAAATTAAATTTAATGTGCGATCCAAAATTTGTTTTAGAATTAAAATACCAAAAAATTTATCGTTTCTATTCAATGAACCACTAGTGAAACTCTGTAATCTGATTAGTGCAAATTTAAATGTCTTATTAGATAATATTCATTATTTTCAATGAAGTCAGTAACTCTTTTCTTTTTGTCTCACAAGAAACGAAAACAATGCGAAACTTTGTGTGTTTTGAAATAGTTACATGCTGATGCAATTTTTCGATGGGGTAAAATGTACAGCATGTGTATCAAGATAATAAATACCGATAACATAAATAATGTACATTAAAGCATGAAACTTGTCTAAATAATTATTAATTCTCTTCCGAGTGATTGAAGTCGACAATAATAAAGTGATATTCAGAAAAATTTCTTAAAAATCTAATTTGGAACGGCTAGTTATCAATCATTTATTGTAGACTTCATTCTATACTTGCTTTTATTTGTTCTCAATTGCGCAGTTTTACAGATCCACGAGTGTGATTTTCCGATAAGTCATGCAATTAATGCATGGCAAGCAACACGTTGCATTCACAGGTTGCTTACAATTGTTAAGAAACAGGTGTCTAGACTTCTTTGTGGTATCCAATTAATGTTGTACAAGGAAATTAAAGGACGTAAAGCTTTTGTAGAAACCTGGTTTTGTTGTGATCTACTTGAACAATTGTAATAAGTCTGAAAATAGGAACTAGAATGCTCCTCGTACATAGACTTTTAAAAAGACAGCAGTAATGTGGTATAGTACATTAATTAGGCATAGAGCTTGGCTCAAATTTGGTATGGTAACTTGAAAGTCGTTGGTTTGAATTCTGCTGCGTCGATTGCTTAATCAACGAGATCAAGACAAATTTAAAACTGTGAGCAACGTTGGATTAAGGAACGAGTAAGGAGCTTAAAGTATAGCTAGAGAATTTGTACTATAAGGTAAAAAATCATCTCATGAATGGAATATTGCTAGAACGAATCTGAAAAGTAAGGCAGGGGGGGGGGCATAGGGGGCCCGGGCCCCCCTACGAAAATCTGATAATTGTTTTATTAAGTATTTATAGAGAAGAACCAGTTAATGTAGAGAAAGTGATGAAAGAAATGTCAAAATCAGCACGAAAAATTAAATTTAATGTATGAATAATGAATATATATGAAGATAGAATTCTAATCTACACAAAGATTATTTCTACATAAAGATTCGATGTAGATGTCTACAATTCTACATTCTTCTCTGATGTAGATCTGGAAAAAATGTAGAATTGTAGATGTCTACATCGAATCTTTATGTAGAAATAATGTTTGTGTAGATTAGATTTTCTTTCTTCATGTAGAATCGATCTTTATGAAGAAAGTTTCTTAGCTAGACAAAAATTATTGAAGAATCTACATTCTTCATCTAGTGTTGACATCACATTTGCAACACTGAATTAAATATTTAAACTAATGAAGAATGAATATAGATTTAAGGATACAAAATAACGGTTTTTTAATTTTCGAAAATGGGCCCCCCCTTAAAAATTTTCTGGCTACGCCCCTGCTTGAACCTACATACAAAAAAGTCAAGATGAAAAATGTTAATCCAGACAGTATATGTATAGTCATTTAGATTCATTGATGATTATTGGATTATCAGTGTCAATAACCTTACATTCTATAAGAAGCTACTGTCTTCATATTTACTAAGTTGCAAAATATTTCCATGCGTAAATGCAATAAATTAAAATAAATTCTTCCCAGCTACTTTCATATAATCGTATATTTAATGACAGTATGAATTACATAAATGTAGCTTTAAAACAGCACTAGAGTAGGAAGAACTGTCAATCAGGCATTCAAAATTTAATTTAATTTAAATTAAAACACTTTTAATCTCATCCTATACTGTATACTGCTTAAAAGTTCATCAAACCACAATGATTGACTCCTAGCGCCATCTCTTGAAAATGTATAGGAAGTACATCTATGAACAGTTGCAGAATGAATGTTTCGTTACTCTTTATTTATTCTGCATTCATGCAAATAAAATAAAAATCTCAGTTTAGAGTACGAACGCATTGCCAGTTCATTTACCTCACGAAAAATATTTTTAATGTTGCAAAAATTACGTATTGCCAAAAATATGCGGCATACCACGTCTAATTAATTAATTAATATTTAAAATGAGATGAACAAAATAAAAAAAAATTGCATAAAATGTTTATGAGAGGAAGTTGATGTCTAAAGTCATGCTGAATTTTTGATGATTTATTTAACTGATTGTGGGTGGATATTTCGAGGATAATTTTAGTCGCATACTTTTCAACTGATCAATTTAAGTCTAATGAAAATAAATTGTCTATTTTAAATTCTCGTACACAACTTTTTTTTTTATTTTTGCAAATTGTGAAAATGAAAGGAAAATGAAATGAATTGAAATAGAAAATAAGTACCAAATGTTTCGTGAATGCGGCGCCAAATGAAGTTTCCTTCTTCTCGCCTTTTCTCTTTCAACAGTTTAAGATTTTTTCATTCTCAGACTAAAACGAAATTTGTTTTTTGTTTTATTTTCTTTAAGAATAGCTTGTAGCTGCTGTTTTGGCAAATTGTGATGTCTTGACTGTGTTTTGTCATGAGATCTGTTGATTAACTCGTCTATGGATTTTTTATGCCTTTTTGAATTTACAGTTTTAACGAATTTTGGAGTTTTTGAATTTTCGCATCATTTTGAGTTGGTTTTGCATCATTTTAACAGTTATAAAATTGCCTTTGCGTCATTTTCACATCCTTTTTGAATTCGCTTTATTTTTTGTTGCATCTTTTGAATTCGCTTTATTTTTTGTTGCATCTTTTGAATTTGCTTTTGCATCTCTATAAATTTAAATTTCGCATTTGATATTTGCATCTTTTTAATCCGTTTTTGCATCATTTAAAGCTGTAAAACAAATTTTACTAGTGCAATAGCAATAGTAATGGTCCAAACCTCCTCAGCAAATAATTTTTCGTCCAAAAAATCATCAATAAATGCTTTGCACAGATTGAATACATCAAAACAGCATCCAATAATTTAAGCAACTCGAATAAATCTTTTAGTCTGTAAAATTTACATATCCGTTCATCCAAGCAAATCCCCGACTTAATCAAAAAATAAAAAAAACGTCTCAATTCATTCATTCACAGCAATAACTTTTATGCTTATTGTTCTTTCCTTTGCGGCATTCGATAATATCAATTGTGTGATAAATCGAGAAATTTCATTTGACTTCAATTCTTAGTGCCAAAAATCTTTTTTTTTGTCATCGTTGTCGCAGTCTCTTTCTCTGTTCATCGTCCATTCGTGCTGATATATCAATGACCTATATCCCGTATAGAATCTTATTTACTGTTGGGTATGAATAAAAATAAAATTTGCATCAAAATTGCAGAACATCAATCACATCATTGACTCTAGATGAACTCGATCAGAAGTTTATTGTCAGCTTCTTCAATTAAGATTTCTGAGACTTGATGTAGAAGTCCAATAGTATATTTAATTAATTAATTGATCACGGCTGCATCTTACAAACTAGATTTTAGCCCTTTAAATAACTTCTCATTGTTTTACTTCTATTTTTATATAATAGTCTATAAACGTGAATGCAGACTGACTGCATTCTGAACAAATTAAGAAGAAATATAACGTGTAACTAGACACAAATGCTTAAATCGCGTAAGCATTTTTTAAATGATGCGATTCACATGAAAAAATTCCTCATTTATATCCCATGAGAATGCGATTGATTTTTCAACTGTTATTCTTCATCTCCTTTTACTGTCTGTGTTGTACTTCTTATTTTCACATCAATATACCTAAAATTGAAAAGAGAAAAAAAAATTAAGAGGCAGTTAAGGAATATTTTGGCAGCAGATCAAAAAATCATCTTGAGACGACGATGAAAGGAAATTAGACATGTGTGCATTCTTTTAAGTAAAGCAAAATGACTAGAAAGTTTTTTTTTGTTTTTGTATAAATCTGTCGAAATATTGAGCAAAATATGTTGTAACTACACTTCTTAATTAGCTATTCACATTAATAATATGAAACAGAAGTGAAATGAGATGGAAAATTTTTGTTGACGTTTTTCAGATGCTTGGGCGCATTTTCTTTTGGTTGATCTGTTAGGGGCCGTTCACTTATTACGTTACGCAAAAAAACGACTTTTTTCACCCCCCCCCCCTCCCCCGCTTGTTACAATATGTTACAACTCACCCACCCCCCCCCCCCCCCTGAACGTTCATAATTTATTTTATTTTGATAATTTTTTATTCTAAAAAGACGGTTAAATTTCTTTTGTATTTTTTTTTCTTAAACATCAAAATACTGTCCAGCTAAATAGGTCATGTTTTGAATGATACTATTAGTATTCTCATGAATTATTGGATTGAGATATAAAGCAAAAATATGTTTTTTTTTGAAGAAAATTCAAAAATGTCATGAAAAATATTATGCCCGATCAACTTTGAATGTAAATATCACAATGATGGGATCATTTTAATCATCATATGAATGACAGATTTAGAGAGATTTACTTTTAAACTTATGATTGATTTAATTTTGAAAATTTCCACAAATTATTATTGTATTTTAAAGTCTTGTAAACCAGTTTTCTATTGATTTGTTACTTTATATAACAAAAACTTTGTATTTCTTAGCTATCAAAATTGATCTGGACATTCATAAATCATTAAAAAGGTGGAAAATTTAAAAAAATGTTTTTGGCAAGTTTTTGGTGTGAATTTGTAAACAAATTTTTTTCGTGAACTTTTTTTTAAGACAGACGACAGTTTGAACGTTACATACTTCTTGAGACCCCCCCCCCCCCCCCTATGTTACATTTGGTTACAATTTTTCAAACTCCCCCCTCCCCCCTAAAATGAGAACGTAATAAGTGAACGGCCCCTAAGAGGCTTGATTTTAGTGATGTCTCAGCTCTACTTATCTTCTACTTACTAAGGGATTGTTCTTAAATGACTTCACAGAGCTCAAAAACCATAGAATTGCTTGGAATTCTGATTTTTTTTCGGGCCTCATTTATGAGCATGGTATATACCAAGAAACTCAGTCGAAATGCTAGGAATTTTTTGTCAGTACTTCTGAAGAGAATCGAACCCACAACCTTTTAGTAATTATTATTATTATTATTAACCTTTTAGTAATACTTACTTTCTAACACACTTGCCCAAAGAGGCTCTAATTTGAGATTGCATTTGCACCAACATATAGTTTGATACCTTAGATTCCATTCTATAATGACACTCTATAATAATAATAATAATAATAATAATAATGTGTGATGGGCCCAGCCTTTCAGCTGGAGGCACTGCGACTCAAATTAAAACAGAATCTATTGTACCAAACCCT